TGTTTTTTGCATTTGGGGAAAAAATGAAGACTTTTCTTCAATGAAGATTTTTTTGGCCTTGTCCATTGACCTATTTAAACCCCAAAAATCGATAGGGGTTTTTTTAATAGTTTGTCTTATTGAAACTTAAAAAATGTTGGGGCTTTGTGTTAAATAGTTTTCAAGATAATGAGCGGAAACCATTCTGTTATTTAAGGCCTTTGTGACCTGGACCTTTGACCTAATATCCAATAAATTAATAGGGGTCAACTACGAGTGATGACCAAGTAGTAAGTTAAATATAAAGACTTTGTGATAAATAATTTTCTAAGATTATCAGCAGGAACCATGTGGTCTACCGACGACAGACCGACCGACCGACAGACATTAGCAAAACAATATATCCCCTCTTCTTCGAAGGGAGGCATAAAAATGAGTAACGCTTGTCACAAAAAGTTTACTGTATATCCCTTCTTGGGGAATGTTAACATATCAAAGACAAATGTTGTAATCAAAGAACATGTACACAAGTCATCTTTTTAACATACTCATTTATCCATATTTTAAACTTCTCAACGTTACTGAAATTTGCAAGATTATTTTTCGTGAATGTAACAAGGTTAACAAGTCATTATAAAATAACTTGCACTGGCAAAACTGAACCATCTTATTCTTAGTATACCAAATCCACCTTTGATGAAAATAAACCAAATACAAAACTTATTCTTTAAGTTTCTATGGAATAATGGTAGAGAGAAATATACAAAAAACATTATATATCAAGAATATAAATTAGAAGGACTAAGGATTAAAGATGATAGACCCTAAATGTTTTACATGGCTCAACAGACTTTTGAACTTAAAGTACAAATACTGTCAACTGGTTGAAGGAACTTACCCTTTCATGAAACAAATGTATAAATTTGAAGCATATTATATTAAGACAAAATACATTTAGCCATTAATCCCTTATGGAGAGATGTGATTTATAATTCTTATACACTTTCTATGAACTATTTTGAGAACTTATGGTTTAATCCGAACATAAAAATTGGAAACACTAGTACTTGTATAAATGGATAGTAAGTGGTATTCTTTTTATAAGAGATCTTATCAACCAAGAGGGAGAGTTTAATACAAATGATGATTTTTTCTCAACATTTAATATTAGAACTATTTTCTTTTTTAATTTAGTGGTATAGTAGCTTCAGTTAAAGAATTTTGAAAAAAGAAAATGTTCAAGATGTACCAAAACAACATAAATATAATGTACCTATTCCAAATCCAATATGTATAATAAATAGAGATTAAAAAGCTGCCGTTCTATTTATAGAGCAATGCAAGCTGAACAATGGTATCCAAAATCATTGCATAAGTGGAAAAATGATTTAAGGACTATAAATAACAGTGATTTTTTTAATAGAATTCTTTGTATAATATGGTGTACAAATATACACAGGACCCAAAGTTAATATGGTTTCAGTATAGAATAAACCATAGAATTCTTTCAACAAACTATATGCTTAATAAGAAAATGAATATAATTAATGAAGAAACTTGTTCATTTTGCCCAAATGTAAAAGAAACATCGATTCATCTTTTCTATGACTGTGATGTAAAACAAGATTGTTGGGAACAACTTTTCATGAATAAGTGCAACATCCCTCTAAGACAGGCTTAAGCAGTACTACATGTGCTAGAATCAATGGTCCTGAAAGACTTGAAAAAACTAAAACAACACTGAAGTGCAGTAAGCCATTGTCGTTATATATGATTCTTGTTTAGAACATAACATATATTCTTCATAATTACATGTAATTGTATTAGTTTTAACTTTCGTCTAGCAATTCGAGTGTTTCTAATAATGATAAACTTTGGTAACAACAGGCCTGTGTCAATTTTAAATGTAGTCTCTAAAATACTTGAAAAGGTAGTTTATGACCAAGTTGAAACATATGTTAAAGAGAAGAAGCTGTTGTATAAATTCCAGTCTGGTTTAAGAAATGGTTTCTCCACTGATACTTGTCTCATTTACATGACATACTACATTAGGCATGGAATTGATAAGGGTAATGTTATAGGTATGGCTCTGTTAGACTTGACACTGTTGACTATTCCATTCTCTTTATGAAGCTTCAAGCGTCTGGTCTTGGTGATGACATCATAAGGTGGTTTAGGTCATATCTTTCTGAGCCACAACAGCTTGTTAATGTGTCAGGTATTTTTTCTTCTACTTCAAGTATAACATGTGGTGTTCCCGAGGGTTCAATCCTTGGGCCTCTCCTCTTTTAACTTACGTTAATGACATGTCAGTGGTAGTAAAAAATAGACTGTTGTTATATGCTGATGACTCTGGTATACTTGTGTCTGGAAAAAGTTTATTTGAGGTAGAAATGCCTGTATCAGAAGATTTGTCTTCAGTAAGTCAATGGTAAATTGATTATAAGTTATCATTGCACTTAGGTAAAACTGAGTCATTTGTGTTTGGGTCTAAACAAAAACTCAGGTCACATTCCAAATAAAATGTCACTTGAAACGGCACTGCAATAGAAGCGTCCACATCTATCAAGTAACTTGGGGTAACTATTGATCAGTACATGTCCTTTGGTTCCATGTCAGACTCAGTTATTCAGAAGGCTAACGCCAGGTTAAAGTTACTTTACCGTAAGGAAGATTTTCTTACAAAGCATACCAAAAAACTGCTTGTCAATTCCTTAATTCAGTGTCACTTTGACTATGCCTGCTGTGTCTGGTATAATGGTTTAACTCAGGTCTTGAAAAGTAAATTACAGACATCACAAAATAAAATGATGAGATTAGTTCTAAACCTTGATTTCAAAGATCATTTTGGCTCATCCCATTTTAAATCCCTTAATTGGTTACCAGTTTGTAAGAGAGTTGAACAAATCGTGTTATGTCATGTTTTTAAGGTTAAAAACGAAATGGCCCCAGAGTACTTGCTAAACTCTGGAACAGTCTTCCAACTTGTGTGACTAAAAGTAACAAATTTCATCGTTTTAAGGTAGCCATCAAAAGTCACTTTTTAAGTAGAATTTTGGTGTTTTTTCTTAAAATTTCTTGTAAGAAAATTTTATGTTTTCAGTTTTTATTGAATTATTTTTCGGCTCAGGTTTACTGTTTCACTTTTTGTAATTTGTTTTAATTTATTCGGTTAAGACTTTAAAAACTTTCTCTTTTTTAGTAGTGTAATCTATGGCATGTTCCTTCCTTACATACTCAACTGTATGATCATATTTTAGATACTCTCAATACACCATGGTCCCTGTGATAATAAATCACAATAATCCTTTAAATAATGATAATTTTTTAATGTAATCTTTTCTTAATATGCATGTGATAATTTCTTAATGTGATACTGATTTTTTAATGAAATACATTACATTACATTTCAAATTGTGATATTTTTAAATGATATCCTTCATTAATGTGATTTTTCATAAGTGATATTTTTTCTTTTATGAAATACCTCTCTTTGTCATGCCACCAAATGCTGAGGACCACAATGGAAATAAGAGCTTGCTCTTTTTTGTAATATCCTTGGTTTTGGGAACATGTTATTATTCACATAATATAGTAATTATTTATTTGTAATTGTTTAAATCTATATTGTGTTTGTTTATCATGTAACATGTTTATCTTTTGCCGAAATAAATCTATCTATCTATCTAACGATACGTGTCATGCGTAACAACCAGAACTTTACCTGTACTTTGAATTTCCCACTTGGAGATCAAAAGTCAACATTGTCTGATGGTGGGAAAATTCGTGCCCGGTCCATAAAAATGTGTCCATCACGGGTTTGGAAATAACTTGGCACAAATGCTACGTGTCATGCCAAAGAATTGTCAGACTTGAAGATAAAATATATACATTGTTTGATTGGGAGTATATGTCTAGTTTAAGTTTTAACGAATTCATTTTTACCGAAATTTAATGCAATATTAAAAGAAAAAAATGATGAAAATTTGGGAGGGGGTCTTAGTAATCATTATTGTCGATAAAAATCGGAAACGTTATGGACTAGCCCCATCAAACAATGTTGACCTTTGATCTTCAAGTGTGACCATTGTTTCGCATGACACTGGTGTCTGATACAGTGAGCCATGTTATTTCCAATCCCGTGATGGACAAAAAAGTGTTATGGACCGGCAACGAATTGTACCCTCCATCGGAAAATGTTGTCTTTTGATCATGGGAACTTCAAAATAAAAGTAAAGTTCTGGCTATTACGCATGACATGTATCGTTCTTATCGTTCTGAAAGTTACTTTAAATTACCTTTGTGATTTCAACAGGATCAATATTAGAAACACTTGAATTTGCTAGACGAAAGTTAAAACTAATACAATTAATTATGAAGAATATATGTTATGTTCTAAACAAGAATCATATATAACGACAATGGCTTACTGCACTTCAGTGTTGTTTTAGTTTTTTCTGGTCTTTCAGGACCATTGATTCTAGCACATGTAGTACTGCTTAAGCCTGTCTTAGGGGGATGTTGCACTTATTCATGAAAAGACTAGATCAAAGCAAGTCTACAATTTTCATATAATTTTGTTTTCTAGACTTTTTTTACATAAGACATCGTAAAAAGAAATCGGGATATACGATAATGGTATAATGGTATCATAGTATTATGCCAATTTTAGATAAGTAAATATGTATCAGTATTTTTCATTCAAAATTATTCACACTGTTTATACCTTCATTTTAACCCTTTAACTCATATATACGCATACAACGCACTTTCGACCCCCCCCCCCTTTTTTTTAGGCCTAAAATGTCCTATTTTGGCCCCAAACACATGTTTTCGTTTGCTAAAAAAGTGAGCCCTTCTGTTTGGGGGGTTTGAAGGGGGACGGAGTCCCCCTCATCGCCAAGAAAATGTTGGACTTGTGAGAGGCTAAAAATGACCCCAGGTCGATCATAAGGTAACGTGTAACCAACGCTGAAAAGCCTTTGACTCTATCTCAATCCCTTGAGAAGTTGCAACAAGTATGCAAACATTTAGCATGTAAAGCGATAGATTTAATAAATTTCTTACTTCACTATGATACTTATAAATCTTCTTATAAGAAGTTTACCAATTATTTCTGGCCAAAATCAAATGGGAAATCGTTGAATGAAAAAATTAATCATAATTTAGTTTGTCTTATTATTCTTGAATGATTTGTTTGATGATTAATCTTCAAATTTAACCAAAGTCCATTTACATGCATAATCAAAGCTAGAAAGAAATATGTCTTATACTATAAATACAAAGATTTTTCTTTTTCTCTTTACTACAAAGCTTGTGGAATTTATAACTTAACGAACAAATTTAGGAGTCAATCATTACCATTAAACATACAACAATCACACGTTAAAATGATTAAAAGTATTAGGGAGAAAACTATAATAGCTATGTTGTCGAAAAGTATAAAAATGTTGTTTAACCATTTGCCTCATTTGCTTACATTGGAAATTCTGGCAATTGTGTTCTCACAATTTCGTTAGAAAAACAAATGTGAGATATCACTTTAATAGTTAGATACATCGAAATCAAAAGAATTTTAACTTGAAATAAAAAAATTATAAAATATTTAAAGATCCTGTTACTCTTTTTTATGGTTTTATATCCTAAATATAATGCTCAAATGAAGATTTTTCAATATTGTAAGTTCCAAAAAAGCATTATTTGTAAAGATATTACTGAATTTACATTTCATGTTAATCAAGGGAGGTAATTAGATATTTATTTTCTATAACGTCCAAGTCAAATTTTTTAATAAGAAATGAATGCATATATTTTAATGATTACATATAATATGGACAAATATTTGCAGTACATATTTAGCATATTCTTCGATACGAAAATTGTTTTAGAAGCATAATTATATACATATATAAAATTTAAAAATATAAAAAAGTTTGCAACATACAGGATCTTTTACACGCACTATAAATTGCTATACAATCTGTCAAGACTTATCTTCCTGAAAATACTCATTGTCTAGTATAAGAGGAAAAACAAGATATTTGAATATATACAAAAGACTATAAGTTAATCATCATGATAGAAACAATTCTTTAGTGTTTTCCTTTTTTCATTTTCTGTTGGAGACACGTTTTTATCTTTATTTATCTTATCAGAACTAAAATAGAATAAAAAACATTCATTTCATTATCTTTGCAGTAAAATTGGGTTCTATTTCTTAAAAGTTGAAATATTCCTCTCGATCCATCTTGTCATCATACGAAGATCTGTAAGATCTACCCCCAGTATGATCAAAGCCCTTGTTCATCACAAAATTAGCACTGGCTCTTTTAACTCTGAATCCATCACTTTCTAAACCATCATTGTGAATTCCATTGTCATTATGGGCTCTGTTAGATCTACCTCCAGTTACGCCATGGCTGCTTTTGAAGATTCCATTATCATAACGGGCTCTGTTTGCTCTTGTTCCACCACTTTCAGAGCCGTTGTTGTGTATTCCAAACGAATTACCCCTTTCATTGTGAGCTCTGGGGATATGTAGTGGTTTATTGTACTTAAAAAGACACAAATATTATACAATGATAATAAATCATTGTTTGTATTACATAATGAAATATTGTTTGCGAACTTGTATGGTACATAATACCATAAAATAAATGCATTTTAATGATACTATTTGGTACAAGATATTATAACATTTATGGATTCTAAAAGAAGAAACGGTCAAAGAAAGCATCCGCTATTTTCAACACTTGATTGAAATGTTGAATTTGTCCAAGTTCCTCTTCCTCAACAAAAATGATACTGTTATGGATTTCAAAACAGCCGAAACCTTTTGGACCTTAACGTTTAAACAGGCCTTTGTATGATATTCAAAATAATCTAAATCTATCATAATATATGTCATGTCTGAAAACTGCACATTAAATGACATAAAAAAACTCTTTTGCCGTAAAGTTTTGTTTTTGTTTGTGTATGTATATAATAACGTTCTTTTCAATATCAGGGCTGTAAATAAACATACCGCAACATCTCGTCCGGCGAGGTCAGTGAATTCAGATTGCTTCTGGTTCCATGCAAGGACTTTCGAGTTTAATCTTCCTTTGGAAATAATGTCTGTAACATTTGACGCATACATTTATAAACTTTACATTAATCTATAGACAAAAGTGTATGATGATTACTTTGAAAATTAACAAATTGGATATTAAATGAAATGAAACTGGTGCATTAGTTTGTTTTGTTTTGTTTGTAATATGTTTTATCAAGAGTCCTTACGATTTATATTTCATTATATTTCATTTATTTCACATGCCTATTTCCCTATGCCTTACGTTGTTCTGTTACCCTTTTAATGATAATGTCTTGTCCATGGCAAAAAAAAATTAAGGTCACAAAAGCCTCAAAGTGTATAGTTCAAGGTCAGGACAGCCTAAAAAAACGTAAATTCAGCCTGAAGATTCGTATAGTTTGAGCCTATTAGGACAACTTGCTGATCCACACAGTTTAAAGTCAGAACCGCCTAAAAAAATCCGTACAGTTTAATGTCATGACAGTCTGAAAAAATTTACAGTTTGAGGTCAGGTCAGCAAGCAAATCCGCACAGTTTGAGGTCAGGACAGCCTCTAAATTTTAACAGTTTGAGGCTATGAAAGCAGCATTCAAATCCGCACAGTTTGAGGTCAGTACATCCTGCAAATTTGTACAGTTTAAGGTCATGACAAACTGCAAATTTGTACAGCTTGGGGTCAGGACAGCCTCCGAATTTGAACAGTTTGAGACTATTTAAGCAGCCGTTGAATCAGTTTTAGGTCAGGACAGCCTGCAAATCCGTACCGTTTTAGGTAAAAAAAGACTTGCAAATTCGTACAATATGAACAGACTGTTTATGATGGGAAGCAAAATGTTACCTCTTGGATTTAGTATAGACAAAATAAAAACTGCTCCTCATTTAAAACAGAAAAAGCCATTACACAAATTTAGAGATGTAATGTTTACAATTTGCGTATTCAACAAACTATTTTAAGGTTTATTTCTTGTTGTTAAAAAGGTGATTCTTGAAGAATAAGAAGTGTTGTGCTCAATGCACAAGTTTTATTTACCTTCATTGGTAGATTTTGCAGTTCTAAGATAATTCCCCCCTCCATAATTCCTTTCTTTCATATTGTCAGCAAAATATTTCCTACAAAATATATTAAAATACCGTAAAGGTGCAAACATCTTTGGAATTATATGGGATAAATACATGTTTTTATAAGATATTGTCATTAAGAACACAAAATTTATGACCAAATATGTTGACGAAAGAATAAAAAAACAGGGAAGCATATATGATTTTTACCTTAACAACACAATTATATAATCATCACTTTGATTTATTGTTCGTTTAAGTTATCAAAATATAACAATAATTTCATTGTGGAATTTTGCAGACGTAAATAAAAGATATATACTCAGAAAACGATTAAGAACATCCGATCAAAACTTAACATGTAAATAAATAATGTATTGCAAATGACAAATTACAGAATAAATGTTTTTAGATTAACAGTAATTGCAGAAAATAACAACTGTTTCAGCACATCATGTGTATTATATCAATTTTTGTATTATTGCAAAAGTTTGGTGTTTATCATTTTTTAGAAGCTAATTTAAACCTTTGTTTTCCATCCTTTTTCTGCCTTTGTTTCCGTTTTCGAAGACAAATGATAACAATTATCGCCCCGATAATTAGTAACAGACCACCCAATGTTGAAATGATAACAATGATAATATGAAATAGTCCGTCTGAAAGTAAAGCAACAAACTAACACTGTAAAATCATGAAAATATGAAATGTAAATCATAAGTCACATAGAAATGATCAGAGTAAAAAATATATATTTAACAGCTGCTTAATAATAGACACGTATAAAGCATTGTAGAGAAAAAACCAAAGTTATGTCTAAAATTATCTTGTTTTAAGGAAATTATTTCCAGATAACTTTATACTTTAAATATCTGACACACTTGCAAACTTAAGGTAAAATGTTGAAACCTTTGACCGGAGATTGAAATAATCTCCACTAAGTTTAGAACTGCACAATATTTAGTTAAAACATTGTGTAATATCCATTATTTTTGTATAAGGCAAGAATTCTTTTTACAACATATTGTTTTTGTATTGAGCTAGGTAACGAGGTACCTTAGATATATGAAACTGAAACAGAATATTTTAATTTTTCCTGTCCTTTCATATAATTATTTAACATTATTAATTCACAAGTAAGGAAATTCAAAATGTTTTTAATCTTTTCAAAGCAATCGTATTAATAAGTCAAAATTGAAATCTTACCATCTTCTTTGTTTTGTCTGAAATACATCAATACTAATTAAAAACAAATTTACGATACCGTTTCAAAAATTAAATGTAAAGAAAACAAAATTATGTTGCGTTTTGTTTGGTAAGGTCATATATTGTTTAATTATTGATTAGATGACCAAACATTAAGGATTGTGTACATACTTAATAATCAAATAGAAGCAGCATATCGATATGAATCAAATAAGTCTAAATACTCGAACCTGCATATTGGAACGTTGTTTGAAACTTCACAGTGATAACCGTCATCGCAGCTTCCTATCAACACCGAATACAACGTGCACTGGTCCATATTTTGATGCCGATCTGAAAATAGTGTCATTTCTTAGTGAATAAATTCACCATATCACCTCAATAAATAAATCATTATTTATTAATTTCAAATGATATGCGTTTAATGTAATTTTGCTGGTTTTGTTGTTGTTGTAATTTTGTTTCATACACTTGCACGTTTCAAATGATTTAGATATACATTCAGTTATAAAGTTAAATCAATAACGTTATAATCTCATAAAGATTGGAGTTGAAGTTTATTCTTATTTTCTTAAATTTTTTGACAAAATGTCTTTGATAACTTACCAGAAGTGGCATTCACCAATTCACCGTCAAACATTATCTGTGCCCCTTGAATTAGTTCGGCAGATGCTGTAATGAGTTCAGAGGACACTCCCGTTTCTTCATCAAATGCAATTACATAATCCACTTTGATGCTTCCAATTCTTAAAGGGAACATTTAGGTGCTTTAAAAATACTTAAAACAAATGTTAATTGTGAAAATAAATATAAACTATATATACACTGCAATTTGCATCACTACTTCTTTGCATAATTTCGATAGGTTTCGATATTCCCATATAAAACATTATGAAATATGACAATAAAGACTAACACGAGAGAGAAAGAGAGCAATGATCACGCAACACAGCCTTAGCAATATCCAAAAGCAACGGTAAGCAATAGGGTACCAAACGGTAGAAGACAAACGGGGATAACACTTTTTTATTATATGCTTTTCGGTTGTTTATTGAAATATATCAGTGAAATAAAAAACTGACAATTCACTGTTTGAAACCGTGAAACTATCAATTTGATATTTTTCACAGAATAAGATTTAACCCCGTTACGTTAATTCAGTGAAATACTAGCGTGCATAGTACTGGAAACCAACGTAATGACGTAACGTCGTTAATGACGTAATGTTGCTTTTTACTTAGCTCGATTTTCATTTAGTATTATTTTAAAATGTTTTTTCAAACGTTTCTTTGCATATAATAAAAAGAAAATTTGTTTAGTTTAGTGTAAGATCAAAAAATATTTCACCTTGTGAACACCAAAAGTTCATATTTCTTTTTGTGCTCATTCGGTGAAATATATTCCGATCTTACACTGAACAAAACAAATATCCTCTATGTCATTTTGAATGTTGCGATTCATTTATATATATGCAATCTTGCAATGACAATAATTATAATCTCTAAATGTAAAATAATCTAACATATATATGCTATACAATGAGCCATCATAGCTCTAAGTTTATTTATTTTCTGATTTAAATTGCGTATTGTTTACAAATGTATTATAGATAAACTATGCCTACACTAACGATATTTGCCATAATTAACGGTTGCTGAAATAATTATGTATGAATCGTTATGTTTTGAACTTACTTTAAGTCAACAATAAATATTTGAATCACGGCAGCTGTATAACGGGAGTAAAATCCCAACAACTGAAAAAGAAAAAGGGCTATTTTGATGTTTTGAATAAGTTCAATAACCAAATTTTATTATGCTCTCATTAATTACAAAAAACCTGTACATACACTATAACTTAAAAAGCAGTAAAAAGCCAAGCTGAAAAAGAGGACACTGTTAAATTAAATGAAATCTAGAGCTCGAGTCTTTGTTACAGATATATAAAAACAATTCTTATAAAGATGATGTACATTTTATTTTAAATATGTAACAAGATATTTACATGATCAATTTCTTATGAAATATATAAATTTACGCTTTTTTCCACTTTCCCTCTCACAATATCGAAGGAATTTGCTGACTTCATGTTAACTCCTGCCAATGAGTTCGTGTGAATTGTAATACTAAAATTAAATGTCATTACACCAGTAACTGAAAAAGTATCGTAAATTTGTTAAGGACGACTGTCGTCAAAACGAGTTTAAAACGCTACATAGCTATACACTTATTTTATTTACGCAAAGTATGAATGAAAATGTTTATTGTTATGTTAACGGCCGTTAAATGTTGACCCGTACTTAATTTTACTATTGTTATTCTTTCCAACCTTGCAATTACCACTATCGTCCATGAACAGGCCCAATCAAACCATGTCTACAATAGTGTCAAATTTGCCAACCAGAATATATCTTATTACAGGATATTACATAATAGAAACAAACGACCTTTTACGTTAAAAAGATTAAAATTAATTGTGAATATATATGCTATCTCCTTTACCTTTAGGAATATCCGTTGAAAAACTGCTATCTGAAATAATATAAAAGAATAATACAAAATATATCTTGACTCCAAATCGTGCATGATTCAAGAATACACATTTTTGAGTGACAAATTGACACAAAGAACTATATAGCCTTGTGCGTATTAATCTAATTAAGTTATTACTCAAATTCTGTCTGTACAAAATCACTTTAGTTTCATCATACAAATGACTTTTGTTCATTATGTTTGTTCAGTATTTATTTAATGTAAAATGATATTTTTCCAGTAGACCTTACCTCCAACGCATTGTCCGTCCGCATTTTCCTTAAAACCTCTTATACAATCGCATTGGTACCAGCCGTGCGTATTTACACATGTTGTATTAATCTTGTCACTGCACAATGTTGTATCTTCACATTCATCCACATCTTCCGCACAGGTGTCTCCTTTCCAATTCGATTTACATCTACACTTTCCAGTCACTGTGTCACACATCTTCTCAACATTTTCAGCATTTGTTGCTACACAATCACATTGTTCCGTACAATTTTCACCAAAAGTATTGCCGGAACATTCTGTGGAAGTAAATCTAAACATATTAAACAATGAATTTTACAACAGTCCTTTTTCATCTTCTTTGCGAAACTAATATTAGTCTAATAGGAGGTATACATCTTCAAAAAAAAAAGATGATTTTCTTGTCAAACATCTTTCTTTGGTAATAATAATATAAAAAAAGAAATCAACTAGAATTGGTAAAAAAATGTACAGTAAAGAAATATAAACCACTTTACATATGACATGGTCTATCCTGCTTATGAAACTCATATATTTTTATCTATCTATAAGTATTGCTTTGCGCATATGAAATGACTTTAATCATTATGATTTATTTCTTTAAAAAGAACATCCATACATATACTGCATTGCTTTGTAGTACACTACATTGCTTATTTTAGTGCTCTAGTGTTTCTTTGATTCAATAATACTTACCTGCAACGCAATGTCCGTCAGCATTTTCTTTGAAACCTTTGATACATCGCATTGATACCAGCCGTGTGTATTTACACATGTTGTATTCATCTTTATCATAGCACAATGTTGTGTCTTCCTCACATTCATCCACATCATCCTCACAGGTGTTCTCCTTTCCAGTTAGGTTTTTACATCTACACTTTCCAGTCACCGTGTCACATGTCTGTTCTTCATTTTCAGCATTTATTGCTAGGCATTTACATTGTTCTGTACAATTTTCACCAAATGTATTTCTGGGACATTCTGTTAAAAATAATTAATAACGAAAAAAGAAAAAAATAAACAAACGATCTTATTGTTACTTTTCACTGCAAGACATATTCTTTGTGAATGTAACACAAATCGTATGTGTGACATACATGTACGTCTCTATCAGAAAAGACGATTTTCTTGTTAAGTCTCAAATCTTTTACAGTCAAATCTTTTACAGAAACGTTACGAAAACGGAAATTACTGGTCATACCTAAAAACAATTGGATATAGAAATAAAAATTATATTAGTTACAGTTTATAGAAAATAAGAAAAGACACACACATGCCTAAATTTAGGTATTGTCATTTGCACATAAAATGAATTTCACATAAAATAGTTTTTAAAAAAATGTATCAATTTTCATTTCTTTCATTGACTTCATTTTGTTGCATTACATTTACCTGCAACGCATTGTCCGTCTGCATTTTCTTTAAAACCCTTTATACAATCGCATTTGTACCAGCCGTGCGTATTTAAACATGTTGTATTGTTTTTATCACTGCACAAGGATGTATCTTCACATTCATCAACATCTTCCGCACAAGTTTCTCCTTTCCAGTTAGGTTTACATCTACACTTTCCAGTCACCGTGTCACATGTCTGTTCTTCATTTTCAGCATTTGTTGCTACACAATCACATTGTTCCGTACAATTTTCACCAAAAGTATTGCCGGAACATTCTGTGGAAGTAAAACTGAACATATTAAACAATGAATTTTAGGACAGTGCTTTTTCATCTTCTTTGCGAAACTAATATTAGTCTAATAGGCGATATACATCTTCAAAAAAGGATGATTTTCGTGTCAAACATCTTTCTTTGGTAATAATAATATGAAAAAAGAAATTAACTTAAATTGTTATAAAAATGTACAATATAGAAATATAAACCACTTTAAATATGACATGGTCTATCTTGCTTATGAAACTCACATATTTTTATATATCTTTTAGTATTGCATTGCGCATATAAAATTACTTAAATCAGTATGATTTATTTCTTTATAAAAAGAACATCCATACATATACTGCATTGCTTTGTAGTACACTACATTGCTTATTTAGTGCTCTAGTGTTTCTTTTATTCCATAATAATTACCTACAACGCAATGTCCGTCAGCATTTTCTTTGAAACCTTTGATACAATCGCATTGGTACCAGCCGTGAGTATTTACACATGTTGTATTAATCTTGTCACTGCACAATGTTGTATCTTCCTCACATTCATCCACATCTTCCGCACAGGTTTCCCCTTTCCAGTAAGGTTTACATCGACACTTTCCAGTCACTGTGTCACATGTCTGTTCTTCATTTTCAGCGTTTATTGCTAGGCAGTTACATTGTTTTGTACAATTTTCACCAAATGTATTTCTTGGACATTCTGTTAAAAATAATTAATAACGAAGAAAAAAAAAATAAATAAACAAACGATCTTATTGTTACTTTTCACTACAGGACATATTTATTATTCTTTGTAAATGTAACACAAATCGTATGTGTGACAATCATGTACGTCTCTATCAGAAAAGACGATTTTCTTGTTAAGTCTAAAATATTTTACAGAAAAGTTACGAAAACGGAAATTACTAGTCATACCTAAAACAATTGGATAAAGAAATAAATACTATATAAGTAATAGTTTATAGAAAATAAGACAAAACACACCTGCCTAAATTTAGGTACTGTCATTTTCATATAAAATGAATTTCACCTAAAATAGCTTTGAAAAACCTGAGTGTATCAATTTTCATTTATTTCATTGACTTTATTTTGTTGCGTTATATTTACCTGCAACGCATTGTCCTTCTCCATTTTCTTTAAAACCCTTTATAAACAACCCGGCTTTTTCCCCCAGCCTTTGCTATTTAAAAACATTTTTGTATTGTTTTTTTTCCCCTGAAACAAGGGATGTATTTCCCCAATTCTTTTCAACATCTTCCGCACAAATTTTTCCCTTTTCCCAGTTGGGGGTTTTCATTGATTTTTTTCCAGCCCCCGTGCACTCTTAAATCAGTAAAAATTTTTAATTTTTTTAAAATAAAAAGGGAACATTTTTTTTTAACTGCATTGTTTTTGAAAAAGGTACAATTCCCTTTTTTTAGTGCTCTGGATTCTTTTATTAAAAATAATTACCTTGCAACGCAATGTCCTTTAAGCATTTTCTTTAAAACCCTTTGATAAAAACCCCTTGGTACAACCCTGAGTTTTACACATGTTGTTTTAAAATTTTGTCATTTGAAAACAATGTTTAATTTTCCTCAAAATTCATCCAAATTTTTTCCCCCAGGTTTCCCCTTTCCAGTAAGGTTTAAAATCAAAAACTTTCCCCAGTCATTTGGTGCCCAAAATGTCTGTTTTTTTTTTTTCCATTTTAAAGCTTTTAAATTGGGCCGGGCAGTTAAAAAGTTCTTAAATTTTCCCCAAATGTATTTTTTTTGGAATTCTGTTAAAAAAAATTAAAAAACGAAAAAAAAAAAAATAAATAAAAACCCGATTTTTATTTTTATTTTTCACTAAAGGACATATTTAATTTTTTGTAAATGTAACACAAATCGAAATTTGAAAAATGTTAGTCCTATCAAAAAAGACGTTTTTTCCTTGTTAAGCCCTAAAATTTTTTAAAAAGAAAAGTTACAAAAACGGAAATTACAAAGTCAAAACCTTAAACAATTGGATAAAGAAAAAAATTTAAAATATAAGTAAAAAATTTTATAGAAAAAAAGGACAAAACAAAACCTCCCCTAAATTTAGGTACTGCCCTTTTTCCCATAAAAAGGGAATTTCACCTAAAATAGTTTTGGGGAAAAAAACCTAAAGTGTTAAAATTTTTTCATTTTTTTAAATTTACTTTTTTTTTGGGTTGCGTTATATTTTCCCCTCCCAACCCCATTTTTCCTTCTCCATTTTCTTTAAAACCCTTTATACAATCGCATTTGTACCAGCCGTGCGTATTTAAACATGTTGTATTGTTTTTATCACTGCACAAGGATGTATCTTCACATTCATCTACATCTTCTGCACACGTTTCTCCTTTCCAGTTAGGTTTACATCTACACTTTCCAGTCACTGTGTTACACATCTGCTCAACATTTTCAGCATTTGTTGCCACACAATCACATTGTTCCGTACAATTTTCACCAAAAGTATTGCCGGAACATTCTGTGGAAGTAAAATGAACATATTTAACAATGAATTTTATGACAGTGCTTTTTCATCTTCTTTGCGAAACTAATATTAGTTTAATAGGCGATGTACATCTTCAAAAAAAGGATGATTTTGTTGTCAAATATCTTTGTTTGGTAATAATATTATGAAAACATGCTTATGAAACTCACATATCTTTATCTATCTTTAAGTATTACTATGCGCATATGAAATGACTTTAATCATTATGATTTATTTCTTAAAAAAAACATCCATACATATACTAGCAAACTACATTGCTTATTTAGTGCTCTAGTGTTTTTTTATATTCAATAATAATTACCTGCAACGCAATGTCCGTCAGCATTTTCTTTGAAACCTTTGATACAATCGCATTGGTACCAGCCCTGCGTATTTACACATGTTGTATTAATCTTTTCACTGCACAATGTTGTTTCTTCACATTCATCAACATCTTCCGCACACGTTTCTCCTTTCCAGTTAGATTTACATCTACAGTTTCCAGTCACCGTGTCACACATCTGCCCAACATTTTCAACATTTGTTGCCACACAATCACATTGTTCCGTACAATTTTCACCAAACGTATTGCTGGAACATTCTGTAAACAAAATACATATATATCATAACGGTATAAAGAAGTTTTTTAATATGTACTTTAGGCATTCATAGTCTTTCATGAATTTCTTTAAAAAAAATAAAATGATTACTTTTCAAACGTTTTGTGGGCTGTGTATTATGGCTTGCAATTACTTCTACTGTTCAGAAGCATGTTCAGTGGAAACGACATGCAACATCTTCAAGCCTGTCGTTTTTTACAGTTCTTGCTAGTATATAGCCAACGTAAGCGATTTCGTTTTTTACACTGATTTAATGTCTTATACGAGCTCTTTGTTTCGACATACTTATGTTCTACATTTGTTAAATATCTCATCAAACTACAAGAGTTTTTTACCTTTACACACATTATTAACCATATAATATCCTTTGAAGCACCCACAATGAAAACTTCCAATTGAATTGATACATGACTGTTCACAAGCGTTAAAAGCATCTTCTTCACATTCATTTATATCTGGAAAATTTACATGTATATTTGTATATCCAATAAGTTTAATTCTGTTTGTGCTAAAATACACTTATAGGCTACCTACCAGAATGAATAGCATGGACATTTCTATACATTTTCTTACTAAAAGTAATGGGTTGGAAAGGATATATTTTATGAATTTGATGTCTGAAAATACACATAATAACAAAGCACAGGAATGACTTCCGCTAGAAAAGAGCATCTGACTAAAGACAATAACTATAATTGTACAAAGCTGAACTGCTTCAAATTAGACAATTATATCTCATTATATCATTTTTTGTAACCTTACCTTATCTTTCTTACTATACCGACAGCGAATACTGTCTATTGATTTGTTGTTTGGAATTTATTTCGATTATGTTTCTTTTTGTAATGAACCTATGAGAAACTATGAGTTGACTTGAAAATGATTGGATGTCTCACCACAGCAGAAATTCTCAAAACGTCGAAATCCAGTTCTACATATGCATTCGTAGGACCCATTTCTATTCTCACAGAAAGAATGTGTAACATCACTACATGAATCAGTATCGCATTCGTTTATGTCATCCAAACATTTTTCCCCTGTCCATCCCTACATTATACAAAAAGGCACAATGGAAAGAATAATTTATCACGCGTAAGTATAAAAATGATAAATTATAGTTTTTTGATACATTATTCAAGACATTATCCCAGAAATAGAAAGTAGATGGTATTCCTAAAATAATTTGCAATACAAATTTCACTGATTCTACCATCACGATACTAAATCATTAAATAGATGTGTAATACAAAGAAGAGTTCATTTGTTACAGTAGTCAAAAATGTATAATTTCCGTACTAAAAATAGTTGAAACAACTTTTAAATTCATTTGTAATTTAAAAATAATATGATATAAACAGTTTTCGAAAACATTTATGTATGGGAGAATTTTTACCTTTTTGCATGTACATACGCCACTTGTATGATTGCAGGAGTCTGTGTTTTCAATGTGGCAATTGCAAATACTGTTGCAGTTTTCTCCATAGTGTCGATTATCACAAACTAAAATATATTGTTATTCCATAAATCAATATCACATGAACATCGCATAATTTTTCAATAGGTGCATGTACTTGTAAGTCCCATAATTTAGTGAGAAAAATATATACAATACCTTTGCACTCCCCGGAGGCTACTTGAAGATATCCTATGTCGCATTTACAATTAAAGCTGCCAGGCGTGTTAAAACACTCAGAATTGATCGGACAAACATTATCACTGTTCGTACATTCATTGATATCATCATCGCATTTATCACCAGTCCAACCATTTTTACAATAACACTGACCAGTCTTTGGGTCACAGGAATCCGTATTTTGCTGTACGCAAGTGCAGATGTCTTCACAATTTGTGCCATACTTGAATAAGTCACAAACTGAAAATATGACTCGATGAGTTAAAGATTAGAATTGTATATAATTTATCCGATGGAATATTTGACCTCCTTGCTGTTAAATATATTACTTGATAACTCTTAATAACCTTTAAGGAACTCCACTGAACCTAAAACAGCGGAAACACATACACAGAGATATTCAAACGTAAAGAAGGAAGTATACTCAGAAATAAAATGAAAAACATATTTTTGTGCTGTTCTTAGCCCGATTTGAGTGAAAAGCGTGGCAACACTCAGTGGAATCCTAAGCTAATTTGTAACATTACTTTAAGATAATATTAAAAACGTTTTTGGTGGCATTCCTTGTAAATCACTAACCTTGACATGTGACCTTGTCTTCCTTAAGGAAATATCCGATTTGACAATTGCACGTGTAACTGCCGTTAGTATTGATGCAATTGTGGGAACAAGGCGTTTCACTGCATTCATCTATGTCTGAAAGAAGTATATAATATATTAACATGCTATATGTAATGTGAAAAAGAATCTAAACTAAAATAAAAAAGGTGAGACAAATCGCGCAGTTTTGTTCCTTCAGATACATAACATATCTAAAAATGATAAATTGTTTGATAATTTCATACTATGACTCATTTACAAAGAATACAGACATGTATATCAATAACCTCTATATTGTTTGTATTTTTACATAACTTACCAACACAAATGTCATTCTTTTTTACATATCCTTTAAAACAACGACACTCTATCTCACCGTCCTGCATCATGCATAATGCATTATCCCCACACGTTGATGAATTTTCCTCTGTACACACATATATGGCTGAAAATGAAAAATATATCTGTATTTTGAAGGTTAATGTCTGTGTTAGCATATGACATCAATACCAAAAATACTCTGGATTTATATATATATTATGACAATAATATTATTAATGATAATAATGATAATAACAATAATGAAGGAAAAATGATAATAATATCTTCCAGGTATTATTAAAAGATTTATATTATTATATATATTATTATACTTGTATAATTTAAAAATATGACAATTAGAATTACAACTACAGAAATAGCTTATTATAATTAGATGAATAATTGTTAGGATTGAAATAATAATTAAAATCAATTAATTATGCAAAATTAAATAAAGTTAAAATTATTGTTCCCGGAATTGCCTTTTTCAAATAATTATTATGATATTATGTCAAGTATGCCTAGTTATAGCCATTTTAATATTCATTATTTTTTGTGGTAGTTAAAATCAAATGTGTAGCATTCATTGAAAGGTAGTTTCCCTTCAAACGTTGTTGAATTTCCAATTCATTTTTCAAAGTAATACTTACGACTGCATGATTTTCTTTCTGTTATATTAAGAGCATATCCTTCGTGACAAGAACATCTATAGCTTCCTATTGTGTTATCACATATCTGATCACAGTCATTTATTCCGCTACACTCATCGATATCTAGAATAGAAGTTGGGCAGGGATTAGCACGGTCTAATTTGGTTAATTGCGTTGCAATACGAAACGGTACGGAATGGTACGGTCCACCACTGTTTAGTACGGATAAATTAAGTATCATATACATTTTGTAAATAACAGACATATTTGCATTTTCATGATGAGAACATAATCATGAACATTCAATAAAATATATTTGCCATTAACTTGCTGCAACTGTACATATATGATATGGACCAGAATACGGAGGCAGTGATCGGGCTGCTTAATTACATGCATAGAGGTATAAAATATATTAATATTGTACTATAATGCATTAGAAATAGAATAAACATATAAGGTTACATGTTTTACAAAACATTAGATGGTGAAATCTGAGTAAATATGTACATAAAACGTAGTCTCATAAGCCTCGGACGCTGGCCCTTGGTGATAATAAGATTAATTAACAAGCTTTTTACATATTCTTAAAAACACACATTCACGATAATTGATGTAATTGTAAAAATGAAATCAAAAGAGAAGCAGTATTGATCAACCTTTTTCATTGATAATTATATATTAAATCAGGTAAGAGAAGACAGAGAAGAATGGTGGACTAGAAATTGGCTTTTATGAAGACCCCCTTCATGGCCAGTATGAGACTCTGTTGCTGAGGATCCGGCGTTCCTACAATAATTTAACTAGAATCGGACCTGAAATGTCTCGTGGGCCTGACGCGATGACGCTGAATCTTCTCCGCCAGAACCATTGAACTCTGTAATTCGTTTTCTAGATGTTCTTTTCTTGTGATGCATTTTGAAAATGAGCATGCAAGAGGTTGTGGATGGATATAATAGGTCCGTATAGATCCATGGCGATTCGTTCTACTCCGTATCAGACCGATCTTATTCGTACTAACTCGTGCTTATACTGTAGCAGACCGTAGTGTATCCGTAATGCATCCGTCCTAATTCGTGTCGAACCGTATCAAACCGTGTCGCTCCGAAACAATCCGTGTCTCTCCCGGGGCTTTTACCTACATTTTGGCGGTAAATACGTCAAACTTCGTACTCATACCGTAATGTTTCAGTGCTGGAACTGTAGCGGACTACGGAATTTCATATTTCCGTAGTAATCCGTGATTAAACCGTAGTTCTTCCGTGGCGTTTTCCGTGAATATGTGACCGGGGCATAAAATTTAAAACAATTTTTTTTAATAAGTTTCGACATTAAAACTGATCTTACCTTGACACGATCCTTCAAGCATGGTGAAACCTAGATGACATTTACATGTATAGCTTCCGTTAGTGTTGACACAAACTTGATCACAGCTATTCATTGTAGAATCTTTACACTCATCTACATCTATAAATTAAGATGTTTTGTTTAAGTATTTTTATCTAAAGTTTTCTTTCTGAATCCGATGTAAGTTTTATTTTGTAGCGAGTATAACTAGATGAAAAAAATGAAATTATCACAAATAACAATAACATTATGCAAATGATATAATACACATACATTTAATATCTTAATTCATTTATATGTTTCTGTTTTGATGTTGTTGTCGCTGCTTTTTTGTTGTGTTTTTTGTTGTTGTTTTGCTATTGTTGTTGTTTTTGTCAAAATTTTAAACTCATCGACCATGAATGTTTGAAGGACATGTAAATTTATATCTAAAACATATAGGAATGATTTGTTTATACATCTCTTTTCCGTCCTTTCAAACGTAAATATTCAAATATAAGATTTTGCCGAGCAAGTCGACTCGATTGAACAGAAAATTGAATTTTTAAGCACTCATAAATATCATATAAAATGGTTAAATATAATTTCTATAAAAAGAGAAACGACATATTTATGGCAACTTGTACCTATACACTGATTAGAGATATTCATGTAGCCAGTTTTGCAGGAACAAACAGCTCCGCCAGCTGTATTTACACATCTGGTATTAGCAGCAGAACATCGTAAAAGACCAGCTGTACATTCGTCAATGTCAATGTTACAGTTATTTCCAATCCAACCAGAATCACATACACAACCTGAAACAGGAAAGACGTTTCCATTTACATAAACATACTTCTTTATTTATAAAAGACAATACCTTAAGTTAAATTCAATCAGTGCCTTACATAATGACAAACAAACAAACAAAGAAAAAAATAAGTCTCTTCTGACAGTGCATAAGTAAAATTATTATATCATATCTATTCTAATGTCTGCAATGTAAGTACACTCGCGCTACATAGATAATAGTGTCTCAATTAGATGTGTCTAATTTTAATAAAATTTTAAAATCGATGTAAACGATTCTTTGTATTCTTTTGAACCATTATTTCTCTGGTGTGATAACTCCCTAAAACTGCTAGAAAGTAAAATTTATTATTTTTGTATTAAACTTACCAGTTTTCTTATCACAAACTCCGTGTAAACAGCCGCATGTCTGAGAACATTCCTTACCAAAATGGAATTCATCGCATACTGTAAAATATATTTGAAAAGCATAAGCTGTAGAATCATGATAAATATATATATATATAGCAAGACCTATTCACAATCATTAGAATGCAATTTGTATACAAGCTTTAATAACAGAAAGAATATCATACAAATATTTATATGTTGAAATAAATACCTACATGAAAAATTATAATAACTAAATCTAAATGCAATGCATCATACTTAACAGAACATGCATGTAACTGTATGAGATTTTGCTACAAAGTATGTGTAGATTACCTAAGCATGTCCTTTTGTCATTTGCAAGCTTTGTTCCTGTTGGACATTCACAAGTGAAAGACCCGTATGTGTTTCTGCAGGTTGCAACCTTATCACAAAGATTAAGATCGGCGTCGGTACATTCATTGACATCTACAAATTCAAGTATTGATTGTAAGGTTGTATGTTAAATATTTTCTTACGAGTATGTACCTCTAATTATAATAAAGGCATTAGCATTTTATTAAACGGTTGATAAATGTTTATAAGAATTGTTATTTTGTTTTAAATACTGTAGACTTATATGAATACTCTACATCTTGAAATTTATATGGATTTATATTATTTTTAATGCACAAAACTTAAACAAAATACATGAATATTTCGAAATACTGCCTAGTGGCAATCAACAGTTACACAAAGTATTCTTTTGCAGCCAAAATTGCATTTCTTTACGTTATTGGGCATTTTATTTAACAATACAAGTGAACATATTTCTACAAAAGTAAGTAACCTGCTTTAAATAGTATCAAACATTGTCGTAATTACCTGAACATGTCTCTTTATCAGGTAAGATTTGAAACCCTTTTCTACACCCACAAGCATAACCTACATCAAGAGCATTGCAGTAATGGGAACAGTTCAAGTTCTGGAAGTGCAAACATGGATCTGAAACTAAAAACAGATAAGAAGTAAAAACATAATTTATTTTAAGTAAAATGAAGAGAAAAGTAACATTCAGTTTGCTAAAATCAGTAAAATTGATATAAAATTAATAGGAACCATTGTCAAGTATCGCGATTACTGTAACAAAAGGTAATGTATTAACATACTTTAAAAATAAAAAAGGGTTGTATAAATGTATTTTACATGTTAACTGATGCCATAAGAATGGAAAATGTCTTCTGTAAAATATTTAAGTTACAGTGTACATGAAATTCGACAGACAGAGTTATGTATGTGCCATTTGTCATTATGACATTTTTATTATATACAGATTGAAGACTGAAGCGTTCTCAATAGTATTGTAGTATTGCAAATACTATTTACATTATCAGTATAAAGCTAATTAAATTTCACTACATTATACTGTTATTACATATTTGTATTTATGATATGTATGTCATAGGAAAATTTAGTGCTGGGTACTGAATTATAAAATAATTACAAACCTTTCTCACAAGATGATCTATCATCATTTAGAGTGTATCCTGTATTGCAGTAACAATTGTAAAACCCAGGTTCATTCATGCAATTTTGTTCACAATCAGCTGTTCTCTGTTCACATTCGTCGATATCTAGAACGGTATGAAAAAAGTTACAGGTCTTGATATCGATTTAAATTTTTAAGTTGTACGTTTCACAAAGATAAACGGTGAATAGCATGCTTATCATTTAAATATTGTCATAATAGACACAATGTTCGTTATACTCTTCAAAAACAAAACATTAAATGGACATCGAGAGACTATCATGAAAAAGATAATACATGTAAAAGGTACAGGGTATTTAGAAGTAAATATTTACCTGCACAAGATGTTTCATTTATCTCGACATATCCCTCAAAACATCCACATGTATACCCACCGAAGGCATTGTTACAATCTTGCATGCAGTCATGAAGATTTGGACTTGTACACTCGTTTATATCTACAATGAAATGACAATGGCTCCTATACTTAAGGACAATGAAAACGCACGCCCGCACTATATGCATTTTATTACATGAAAGCAAACACTAACGACCCCATTAGATAGATATCATAACTTTAATACAAAACGCAAGCTTTACAGCTGAAAATAATTTTAAATGTTTGAAATCAAATGTAAACAAGTAAATTGAAGAACCTAAGGTGAAAATCCCAAAATCACACTTCTTCATCACGGTAATGCAAACTTAACAAAGGCAAAATCCAAAATGAAAATCAAAAACGAAGTCACTCATTAATGTCGGGATCTTTAGAAACGACAATGTCCTCCATCAGCGCCTCTTACAGATGTACATCGTCACCTCATAGATCTTACCCTGTGGAATCTGACGCCATTCGGCCTGTATTATAGTGCAAAAACGCTGGTGAAGCCGAGAAATTGTAGACCAATTGACACCAAAACGGTTGGCGCTTTGTTTGTAAGATAGTTCAAACTGAATATGTCCTAAATCTACCACGCGGTTATTTCTTTGAAGAACCATTGCATACAATTTTCTAGCAAGTCTTCAGTAGCGTTTGAAATTTAGCCCCTTTTATAGAGGAAAAGTGAGTGTATGCAATTTCCATGTGAGCTTTAACGATTCCTTAAACTGACCATTTGCATAGTTAATATTCATTTTCATAAAGATTTTAATTGCTCATTTGTGTCTAATATTTCTAGAAAGGTGTGTAAAACAAGTTAATAATTAACAATTTAAAAAAAAAAATTTCATTTCATAAAGTAACCTCATGAATTGGTTCAATTTGTTTTTCTGTTGTGATTTTATCACAATTAGCCAAAAATGTTACTTTTGATTTTTCGGGTACTGTCTTTATCATGCAATAACTTCATTAAAATGCAATCATTTTTCATAACTTTGGTATCTAAATGACCGGAATGCATTCTGTTTTATGAAACTGTGAAAAATATTTAAAAGAAATATATTTTCCTTGTTAAAATGCAATTATCCCGACAGTGCGTTTTCATTGTCCCTAAGTATATAAACAATTACTTGTAAAGTCCTTAGGCTTGTTTAATTATATTTTAGTATTTCAAATTTCTCTGATTTTTTGTAATTTCATCTAGACGATACTTCGTATGAGTTTGTTTTGAATTAGAATACACTGGCATCTCATAATTTGATTAAGTACCCTATAAGACTAACAAACGCAATACGAGTATTGATAAACATCATTTGATTTTCTATTGTCAGCTTCTTTTTTATTCATTGATGATCTCAATAACTAACTAATACCTTCACATGTTCCGTTTATTTCCTGAAATCCATTCATGCACTGACAAAGATATGATCCTAAATTATTGATGCATTCCTTCATCGGGTCTTTGCAAATATTAGCGACATCACATTCGTTGATGTCTTCATCACAAGTATCGCCTTCCCATCCAGGATCACACAAACATCCTTTTACAGGGTCACATATTTGCGCGCCTCTACCAGTGCAAACACATTCCTTTTCACAGTTTTCACCCCATTGTGTTGCAGCACATGCTAGAATGTCATAAACATGTCGTGTGTACATAATCATAAATAAACAGCTCAGTGATATCTATTGTTTGATATTATTTACATGAAAATGTGTATGAATATGTATAAATATTAAAATAATTATTTATAAATCGGGTAGTTCATTTACATGATGGAGGGGAATGTAATCATGGTAGAAATGAGTTATCAATTTTTACAATAATCCGTTTAAATATTAAGTTTATTAAAAATGTATTCGTACCTTCACAGTTAGTTAATCCGTTCAAATAATAACCGGTAAAGCAAGAACAGGTGAAGTTTCCATGATTATTCGTGCATAATTGGGCACAAACATTCTGTGCACATTCATCTATATCTATATAAACATTACACATGGGAATAAAATAATAAAACAAATGTTTTTAGATTTTATTTATAAAAGTGTACGTTGTCGGCATACCGGTAAAATAGGTATTTAATAATTGTCTGTTTTTATGATAACATTTTGTCGAACATAGATATGTCTGACTAATTATATTCTATTAAACTACTTCGTTCATTCTAAAAGTAACATTTGAGTTCTTTAAGAAAGAGATTGCAGCAATACCATTGCAAGCGACACCATTAGCATCCAACTCCCACCCTCTGTCACAGAAACATTTTGCAATTCCATTAGCTTCAAGAGTACATCCACCAGTGTCTGCGCATTTACTTTCACTAGAGGTATTACAAACGCCTGTTGCTTAAATTAATAAAAAGTATATTGGAATTAAAATATAATGTAAATAACACACAGAAACACGAACCATATCTTATATTATCATATTGTACACTTTATGACAATTAAAAAGATATGTTTCAGATGTTGTTAAGGAAAGATGAAAGCACTTAACAAGAGAATTAATTTCCATTTAACCTGAAACATAGATGAAAGTTTCACATTTTCTTGTGATTTTTAAGTTTATCATTTTCAGTTTTTTGTAACAAATACATGTATTAGTGACTTCTATTAAAATTATTTTGTACTTTACATTGGCATTACAGTTTGAGCAAGCCGTTTTAATTGAAAGCTATAAATGAGGTTGTTTCACGTACATTTTAAAATAACACACCACCTTGCAACTGACTTTGTAAATACGTATAAGGTGTTTGTATTGAAGATGACAAGATCAACATAAATACCTGTATCAGCAACACAAGTCGAACCGTCATCTTGAAGTTTATATCCATCATGGCATTGGCAGGAGAACCCACCTGGATTGTTTACACATAGATGTGAACAATTATCCAATGCTTCTTCGCATTCATTTATATCTGAAAGAAATTAAAATGAAAATATGAAACATAAGTTATAAAAATATGAAGAGAAAAATGGAAAAGTAAATTAATAGTGCATTACATCATTTTTTATTGGACCTTATTGTTAATTTGTAACAAACTGCTAAAATCGAAAATAAGTGATATAAAATCTTGACTATTCAAAGTTTCCATGAAATGCTCAAATTACAAAGTACTGTTTGAATAACAAAGAATTACATTTAAAAACGGTATATACCAAATCGAAAATATTTCAATTGATGATATTGGATTTCTTTAAAGTCAGTTGAAAGGTTAAAAAAAGAGCTAAGTCGATTAAAGCATAGCTTTCATAATAAATGTACGATACAATCCACTTGTAAACGACTCACTTGATGTACTATTCCCTCCCTTGTCTCAATTCCTTTATATTGGATTATGTTTATTTCTAAATAAAATAATAAACAAGAGCCATGTCAACATGGCCATTCCCCCGCCGAATGTGTTTGCTCATTGAAAGAATGTATATGTAGTAGAGCAGAATAATTCAATTTTAAGAGGTCTTTTGGTTATAAAAACTGATGGATGAAGTGATTACAGATTTGAAACCTATGTGAATACTGATGGCTGAAAATAACAAAGGGCAATTACTGAAAAATAGTGCAGGGTAGGTTACCATTCTTGTGTGCTGCACCCCTCCTCAGTAAAATCTATCCATCTATGAAGGGTTTCAAGTTGATACCTCAGATACTTTTAGAGATAAGATCCGGACAAAATAGCATGAAAAAGAACAAAGGGCAATTACTCAAAAATTATATAGGGAGGAGTTATCATTCTTGCGCACAGCATTCCTCCTTAATAAGATCTATCCATCTATGACATTTCATGTTGACATCTCTAACAATTTTGAGTTATGCTTCACGCAGGTGAAAAATTAAGTATGAAAAATAACAAAGGGCAATAACTCAAAAATTATGAAAGGTAGAGTTCATTCTTGTGCACTGCACACCTCCGGAGTGAGATCTATGCACCTCTGAAGTTTCATGTTGATATCTCAAAGGCTTTTTGAGTTATGCTCTGGACAAAAATTAATTTTGAAAAATAACAAAGGGCAATAACTCAAAAGTTATGCAGGGTAGAGTTATCATTCTTGTGCACAGCACTCCTCCTTAATGAGATCCATCCACCTATGAAGTTTCAAGTTGATACCTCAAATACTTTTTGAGATAAGCTCCGGACAAAATAGTATGAAAAAGAACAAAGGGCAATTACTCAAAAATTATGTAGGGAGGAGTTATCATTCTTGCGCACAGCATTCCTCCTCAATAAGATCTATCCACCTATGACATCTCATGTTGACATCTCAAACACTTTTGAGTTATGCTCCACTCAAGTGAAAAATTAAGTATGAAAAATAACAAAGGGCAATAACTCAAAAATTATGAAAGGTAGAGTTATCATTCTTGTGCACTGCACACCTCCTGAGTGAGATCTATGCACCTCTGAAGTTTCATGATGATATCTTAAAGGCTTTTTGAGTAAATGCTCTGGACAAAAATTAATTTTGAAAAATAACAAAGGGCAATAACTTAAAAATTATGCAGAGAAGAGTTATCATTCTTGTGCACAGCACTCCTGATAAATAAGATCCATCCACCTATGAAGTTTGAAGTTGATACCTTAAATCTTTTTTGAGATAAGCTCCGGACAAAATAGTATGAAAAAATCAAAGGGCAATAACTCAAAAATTATATAGGGAAGCGTTATCATTTTTGTGCACAGCATTCCTCCTCAATAAGATCTATCCACCTATGAACTCATGTTGACATCTCAAACACTTTTGAGTTATGCTCCACGCAGGTGAAAAATTAAGTATGAAAAATAACAAAGGGCAATAACTTAAAAATTATGAAAGGTAGAGTTATCATTCTTATGCACTGAACACCTCCTAGTGAAATCTATGCACCTTGCTTGAAGTTTCGTGTTGATATCTTAAAGGCTTTTTGAGTAAATGCTCTGGACAAAAATTAATTTTGAAAAATAACAAAGGGCAATAACTCAAAAATTATGCAGGGTAGAGTTATCATTCTTGTGCATTGCACTCCTCCTCAATGCGGTCTATCCACCTATGAAGTTTCAAGTTGATACCTCAAATACTTTTTGAGATATGCTCCGGACAAAAATGTCGGACGGAAGGACGGATGGACGGATAGACGGACGGACGGACGGAAAGACGGACGAAGACTATTTCTATATTCCCCGCCGCCTTTCGGCGGGGGATAACAAGCAGAGATGTTACGAATAAAATGACCAAAATAAGATCAGTCACAACAATATCTTCTTACCATTACACTTGCTTATGTTCCTTGCAATAACTCGATACCCAGTGTAGCATGAACATTCAAAACTACCCTCCGTGTTAACACATATGTGTTCGCAATATGTTGTCTTTTCAGAACATTCATCAACATCTATAATAAGAATGAAGCACTGGATGTGTTAAGAGTATTTGCTAGGTCCATTAGAAGGTTTTAATCTGCTAACGTAATTTCAAACACATTATACATTAATAATGATAAACAATGTAAATTGAAATATTCGTGTAAGATTATTTTAAATAGTAATCAGCATTAAAGATCTGATAATGTGTTTATAAAACCAAAAGAAGAATAGCATCAACATACCATTTTGCTAAATTATTTTGGTATTTACCTATACACTCGTCGATATCAGAATCGTTCATGTCCTTAACGTAACCATCAGGGCATTCAGCACACATATAGGACTTGCCTTCGCTAAGCTGCTCTCTGGCACTTAGAGTTGTACATTCTCTTTCTAATGAACAAGGATTTGTTGAACACCAATCTTTTTCATTTTCACAGTTAGGACCTAAAAATAGATTTTAAATTTAGATAAAATATAAAAAAAAATCCAGATCATAAAGAACGGGATTCAATGAACACAGCTCACATACGATCCAGCAACACTGTCATCCAGTTATATTTTCAGCCTTGACATTTCTTGAACATAATAAAATCCAGCAGGATATTAATGATATCTTCATTACGCTGTATTTTAAAAACATGTTCATAAGATACAAAGATCCCCTTATTAAGATGAACATGTTAAAACATACCATTATCTGGAATTTTGCAATCATGTTATCATTACCATCATATGGAGATTCGCAGACACATTCGGAATATTTAAAGTACTCTGTTTGTTGCTGGTCATCTCTAATAACATTAGAACAAACACCATGTCCACTACAGCCAGTACACAGTAGGACATTTATAACAATGCCGGGCGAAGAACGACCATTACTATTCCTCACAGCAACTCTAAAAATTAGAAATCAAATACTTTTAAATAGCATAATTAATTAATTAAGCAATATGTATTTTTATTTCAATTTTTATTTAGGAAACATGCCATACTGCCAGAAGCTTATAACTAAAACTATATTATGTAATAAAAATACAGTACAACTAGTAAATAAAAATATTCAATTATAATTATAAACAATTATGTGCTTTATTGAAAATGTTTGAATAAATTAAAAAAATATCATTAAAGGTAGATATAAAATCATACTGAATATCGACTGGGTCGGTGTTAGACTGCGTGTATTCCACTGTCGATAATGTTTTGTTGATTTGAGCATTTGCGTTATTAGCTATAAAATAAATATCGTGTCCATCTTCAAAACTTAATGGGCCATGATACTTTTCCTGTCCTAAAGTTGCATTGATAACTTTCACATCCAGTAAGTGTGGGGTTGAGTTTCATCTAAAAAGAACAAACACATGAAAGATTCAGCATACTATTACAAAGATTATTATTAATATTAATTTTTGAACAAAAAGCATGCCGTATAGAATAACTTGAGAAAGGAATGTTTCAAACGAAATGACTGTAAACCAAACAATACGTTACGTTTTTAAAATGCTTAAAGTAAAAAAAAACAAATATATTTTATGAGATGACCCTTACTAATTTCATGTCTGTCCAGATCCGCTTCAGTCTTCAAAATTCTAGTAGCATTTGCAACATCTTTATTTTCTGTGAATACGAGATCAAAAACACATTCAATATTCTCGGGACCATTACAGTCTTGCTCTGCTTGTGCCAGTTGATTAACATCAATCTCATCCAGAAATCTTGGAGTGAAAGAATTATTTTGATAATCTTGATGCGATTTGCCATCTTCATACACAAACATAGACTTCTTTTCATCAATCTCCCCTGTATGTAATACAAAACCTATAAGTTAATGAATTATAAAAATATGACGCATATTCATATGACTGTTATAAATAAAAACATAGGTACCTTGTAAATTACATGTTATATTTTAATGAAAAATTACAGCAGTGTCTTCAATGTAGTTACACATAAACATGATAAAAGAATAAATAATTTTTATGTAATATGAGGGATTTCTTCAAGGAACTTATTTATCAGCATACTGTTAACTGTCGCATTTCCATATGTGAAAAATGTATGATTATTACAAACTGTTGATGATATAAACATTTCAAACATCGAAATCGATGACATTCAAATGGTTCATCATAAGGTTGTCAATAAATATGTGTTTAACACATATCCTGGTGAAATAGTACGGATAGTATACTGTAGATGAGCATTTGTTCAGTCAAGAGCCGAGATGTACTTTGATATTAAAACCAATACAATTAGAATGGACTTTTCTGAACTTTAAGCCGGGCAAGTCCATTATATATATATAAATAATCGTATATTTAATTAAGGCCATTTTCTTACATGTCTTCCCGTAATCAAATACTTGTCTCTCTGAAGAATTTGCGTTTATAACAGTGCCATTAGGCATCATCAAATCGTTGTATGGATTCCCATCAAAGTTACCAAGAAGTCCGCTTGTCATGTTTCTCAATGTATTTGGTATAATTGCGCTTATAGACAACATTTGTAAACTAACAGATATGTTCAGCGATATGCCTAAAAGAAATATAACAGCTTTGGTGATGGTTATTTAATCATAGATGTCATTAGGTTGCATCAAAGAGCATCAAGATCAAATATATTTATGTTTTAAATGCAAAAAAGGAGAAGCAATTTCAATAATTTCAAAAGCAGAATATACTTTAACCGAGTGGATGCAGAGCTTAAATTCCTAGAACTAATCATTTATATTTCCAATTGTGTAAGAAAGCAATATATGTCTCAAAAGAAGAAAACATAGAATATTTTGTTTCACTAAGTGAATAGAAACTATGTACATGGAAATATTATTTGATAATCAATATTCAAATATAATACTGGAATGATAGTTTAAACAAATACCTGAAGTTGGAAAAAGAACGCTTAATGCATTATCCCTTCGTGCTAGAATAAGATTGGCTTCGGCAGTTGAATATGTAAAGATATCATCCAAACCTTTTTTAGAGCCAGCATTGTATTGACTTGTTATGTCCACTTGATTAGCATAAATTATCAAACCTAAAATTCACAAATTAATTTTGCTTTAAACATGACCCGAGATGAAATATTCAGAATATTTTCTTAATTCATTCCTGACTATCAAAAACAAATCATGTTATGTCATTTGACTTTAAATACTTGTCGAGATAGTTTTAGCACATGATTAAAATTACTGTAGCTATACTGATTGTTATTTTTGTGATAACAAATAAATTATTGGTTTACAAAGCTTGAATGGTATTGGTAGGTGAGGTTATGAGTGAACGGTTTCAATAGCGTTGTAAATAACATTCCACTATATCCGTATGTGTCTTCCTACAACTAAAGACGGCTTCTCTTCAGTTTTATGATAACGTCGCTATCATAAATAGAAAAAACATTAGGAAGCTCAAAACCATCATTGAAACATCTTATTTGTATATACATATACGCCGACTGGAATGCATGATTACCGTTCCGTGCTTTGTTTAGCTCAACATGTACAGATGCATTGGTATTGTCCCTTGCAGCAAATGCCGTAAATGCAGTAGCATCTGTTAGGTTACCGTCTTTCTTTAATGTTCTGGCTGTTCTCGCCTGTAGATCAAATGTCATATTCTCCGTCGAGACGTGTAAAAGAACGAACTCTCCGATTCCATTGAATGTGAAATTCAAACCATCTAGGGTTGCAAAATGTGGGTCTCCCCAAAAGATTCCTTAATAAGACAGATTAAACATAAAAAACAATTTGTTTTTAAAGACAACTGAATAATCCAGAAACAAACTAATAAAAATAGATGGAATCACCATTTTACTTTTTTTTTAATCACGTTTTTAAAATGCCTGCAACATTTTCAGTTTTGCCGTGTTGGGCTTTCTTTAGAGTTTTTGTTTTCTCTATTAGCAATGTCACGCCTATTTCTATATTCAAATTACATATACTTTGTTTTAATCATAATTCTTTTTTTTAATTTGCTGAATATAATTTTTTTCTCTACTTTTTTTGTGTGTTTTTAGTTGTAATGAAAGAAGTAAAAATGATTACCAAATCTATAAGGAGAGGTTCTGTAGCATCTTCCAGTTGGTCTAAGTGAGTAATACAGACTGCAGTAATTTGACTTCATGCAACAATTTTCTTTCGGCTCAAGGTCATGCTTCAAGTGTTCTTTTTGAATATTTGGGTGATAAAGTTGGAAACTACCAGCAATAGGGCGCTGATAAACCCACAGCCATGTTTTAAGGTCATAGCAACATGACTGAAATGGATGACAAAACAAGAACTAACATTCAATTGATTATCCGTAAGAAAATAATATATATATATTCTTTCTTTCAATTGGTATATTCTTTAAAAAAGTGAATATTCATTCGTTAATAAAGCTCGGCACAAAATGTCTATATCATAAAATGTCCTTGACAATAAGTTTCAATACTTAGATAACACTGTTTACCTTTCCAAAATGTCCAAAGTTCCCCCTGTGAAGCATGTCAACACAATGATATGATTTATCTTGGCGATTCCGTTGAAGTCCAATTTGCCAAAACCATGGATCGAACCTTGACAAGCTTATGTCACAAGGACATTCTGGGGTCAGACTTGCTATGTAGTCAAAATATCTTTTTTGATCTTTATTCTCGTTATACCAGTTGATGCAGTTAACTGCGTTATTTTGTCTAATATTTTCATTGCGGTATAATTGCTTAAAGACTATGCCAGATACGTCTGTAAAATCAACATACATTTATATGTGAGTACATATAATGACAACTTTTAATGACTGTTACAGTAACAATTTTCATATCAAACAAATACTTAAACTAAATTTTTGACTAATTATCAAGTTACATGAACGTTTGAAATGATGAATTTATCAGAACTATCTAAATCGAAATGAATAATATATTTTAAGCTTAACGTATAAATATATTTTATCACAAAGGTAAGGCATTGTTATGATTTCATTAATATTTCGGAATGTTTAATTGCTAGATTTTCTACACTTGTTTAAATTGTTAAATTAAAATACATGTTTGTTCTTATATTATTTCCAGAAACCTGATTTTGACCGAGGGCCTGATTTCCTTGCAGCATCGAGGCGTTTAAACATGTCCCTTGTATATGCAAACGGGTGTGTGAAATGATTTGAAGAACTGAAAGAATAACCAATCCAAACTCGAGGTTTTGACCTAGTTGTTATCCAGTTTATCTGATCATGTCCGTATATATAAAATGTAAAAGTAATACTTCCATCTGTAGCCAATATTAACTGGAATGTTGATGTCTAAAACATAACAATAAATATAAACACCAATCAACTTAAGGTAGCGAGTTCTTTTTACAAGTTAGTAACCTCATAGAACACACGATTTACTAGATAACAAATTACGAATTTTAATCAATTTTAAAGAAATTTCCATATTTCTTTGAAGGCGCCGGAATGTCTTATTCACCAAACCACATATCAAAAGTTATACTGCTGTTATACATCTAAAGAAAGAAAATCCACATTCAATATCGTATAAATTTCAATCACCCTCGAGAATACTTTTATTCATCTGACGTACACCTTTAATCATGCACTTCTGTAACGTCGTAAAAACATTATTTAATAGTTTTAAAGAGATACAATTTTACATGTAAAATATTTCTTTTGTTGGAAAATATTTATCACATACCGTTTCTCTGTCAAACTGCTTCCTCTGCGGCTTGACTTTGTGCCATGTCGCAATTAAAGCAAATTTTGATTTAAAGTTGTCAATTCCTCCTAATCTTTTAATAATTTTGTCAATATATTTTACAGACTCGTCTGTTTCTATGTTAGAATAAGATTTCAAAATGTCATATGTCCTGAAGTAAATTCCCCCAGATTGCTTCAACCTAAACGACGCGTGAAACGGAGCCAAAACGTCTTGACCTTCGAGATCTGATAATATTTTTTTTCTTTTTGCAGGATGTTTACCAATATATGCATTGTCAAAACTGACGATTCCGTGGGAGCAAACCTGAAAGGTAAATGAAACTGTTACATTTTATTTGTATCTATTGTTTTACTATTTTAATTTCTAAAAGAGATTTCTGACGTTAATATATCATATCAAATGTACATTATCAACCGGAAATTACTACTAATTTTTGTTTTCTTTTTTGTTTTCTTTTTTCTTTCTTTTTTTCTTTTTCTTTCTTTTTTGTTGGCTGTAAAAGAACTTAATATTCTGTTCGACGGAGACTTTTAATTTGGTACAAAATATAACAGTAGTGTATGAATCATTACAAATCTGCTCACGTATAAATTTTTATGGGTCTTTCCGAAGACTGGTATTCCAGGATTAAAGGTTATCCGAGGCCCACAATCATCTGTTGTCTTTAGTCGTATGTCTGCATTATTGCTCCCATACAGAAGAAGGGGCACTGTAGATACACAAAATGATAAAGAAACATACTTAAACTGAGCATCATATGATCCACACAAATTTGACCCCTCCAAATGTTAACTTAGATGTACTCTTAAGGCATTTGGTAAAATATAAACATTTTGCTTTTTGATCAGTGTTTCAAAGATAAAAATTAGAAAATTGTTTTCCATTGAAGGTTTCACGATAACTGCCGTATGAACACATCTGCAAATGTTTCTTTATTCAAAATTTCACAATTGTCATGTTTAAATTTTTTAATTCTGCTTAAGCCGGTGCTAATGGGCGTGAACGGTAACTTGCACTTTCCATTACCGTCCATGAACTGGCTCAATCAAACCGAGCCTGGAACATTTTCAATTTGTCGTTTTGGGCGTTCTTAAATGATTCTATACAATTAGTTCCTTTGGGTACTTTAATTGTTCTAATAACAATAAATTATTGAAGAGTAGCAATGGAAGCGTGCGTTGCAACGGTCGACGCTACATGAAATGGAACAGGTCCTGATAAGGAATGGAATAAAATTAAATGACAAAGTGAAGCATATAAGACAGTAATAAATGAAGAAGTGTATCGTTTCGATCAAGAATTTTATAATTGATGTGATGAAATAATTGTTGGATGTCCTATCATATCATGATTTTTGCAATTTTTGTCTGTAAAAATCATAACGTTTTAGTAAACATACTACAGTGCAATTTGCAGAGCACATGAATGAAGTGTCAATGTTTATGTGTTGTAAATTTTGACGATAACATTTCCCTTATTACCTTGTGGTATTACAAACATAATTGTTGCATTTAAGTTTCAATGAATAGAAATAGATATTACAATTGCACCTTATACCTACTTATATCACATTTCTTGCTTATCATATCGAAAATGTCAGTTTTGCAAACACATACGCTATTTTCACATACAGATCCTTCTAGTAAACAATACTCGCTTGAAGTACAGCGTCCACCATTTGGTGCTGTAAAGAATTATATATAAGGTAAAACAATTAAAACAGAGTTAGTTTACACGACTTTGTTTAGTTCGATTGTGTTGGAAGCTATAATCTTATTGAAACCTCTCGAAACTGTTCTTGGAACCAACCAGTACCATGCAATTAGTGGGTTTAACATCTTGCTCAAATGGAAAAAAAACGAACTTGCGTCTAGCAATCTTTTAAAATATTAATCTGAGGCCGTTAACAGTTTCTTACATTTCAAAAAAGGGAAATAATTTTCATTTTCAAAGCTTGTGTGACTTATTTCTTTTATTAGTTTAAAAACTATTCATGAAAAACAACAACCGAGACATTTTTTAAACATATATTATATAGGGGTTTATTGGGGGGATTAGATGTTTTGAAATAAAATGAATGAAAGAAATAACATTTACATATTTCCTTAAGCGGCGATCGCACTGTCACATGCACGAAATTGTTGCTACATTGTTATTGAATCTACTTAAAACAGTATCATAACATAAAATTGGCTTTATAATCTTTAATCGAACGAGACAAAAATAATGTTTAATCCGTTACAAATATGCGTTCATATCATTAAGATCTGACACTAAAACTCATATAAGCAATTTGAGTAAAAAAAATCATAATTATTTATTCGCATATTTCATTTGTAAATTTACTGTTAAAAATGCTGAATACTTAAAAAAAATATTACTTTTTGCTACACAACGTGGTGTATCACCACTCCATTTTCCATCACTTTTACAGGCGACAGTTTCGTTACCAACAAGAAGGAAATCGATGTTACACCTGAACCTGGCTCTTGAGTTATATGTTGTACCGTTCGTGGTACTCATTACTCCGTTGTCAGGCTGTTCCAAATCATTACAATCTTGATAAAAAAGATTAACAATCAATCAATTCATAATAACTGAATATTGTATTATGTCAATGTAATAGGAAACTACAGTACTTTGGGATTTTGTACCGTTTGTACTTTCCATTTTCATAAATCATTATTTAAGATCAAGTATTCAATCTCATATGCTGTTGTTGTGAACTTATTATTTGGATATTTATTTACATGTATTAAATTTGATGCAATAAAATAATTTTTTTTAAGAAGAAATAATTTACATGGTAAAGTTTAATAAAAAGTGGCATATTTTCCGCCATTGCAGAAAATAATACAAGCATTATATAAATTCAAATTTTCTACACTTACAAAAATTGATAAAGAGGTTTTATTTGTTTATTATGTGTTTATTTGTAATTCTTTTTTAAGTTTAAAACTAATAATATTCCTGGATAAACTTATCCATCAAATCCAAAATGAACGTACAAACAATTTTGCAATAAGGTGTTTCACTCCATTGCCCATTTGATAAGCAAGTTATCACATTGCTGCTGTTCAAGTCATATCCTGTGTCACATGACAACTCCACAATGTCTCCAAACAAAGTACTTTGAGATTTAAATACCACTTCTCCATTTGCTAAGGACAAATGTCCACAATCTTGAAAAAAATTGATACTATCAATCATATTATTTTTTTTAAAAGATGCAAATAGTTAAAAGTCAATTTAAAGCTTTGAATTTATTGATTAGGACAAAATGTCATTACCAAATCATATTAAAACATAATACATAGTATTAAAATAATTGCTTAATATGCACTGTAGTTTAATGTTGTCTGATGTTCATTGTCTTGGGAAGAATGATAATGTCTTTACATGAGAAAGATATCCAGCTAGCTTACCGACCGTTATTGGCTCTACTCAGGTGCCCGCTTCGCTGATGTACAGAGGGGCACCCAAAGTTTTCCTCAACCAGTCAAGCTGGAAAGTCGCCATATGACATATACTGTGTTGGTGCGACGTTAAACGAAATCAAAACAAGAGCAATAACGAGAACAAAAGGTATTCATTACAGATATGTACATACACTCATTTTACAAGGTTTAATATCAACATGATATGAGATTCACTGTTATGCAGATAATATAACGTGGCTTTTCTCTAGGGTCTTATTTCAAAATCAATAACCAGTTTTTCCTATCAGTAGAGGTGATACATTTACATGTAATATAAAAAGATGTTCCTTTATACCTTTAATCTCACATGCAACCGTTTCATTCCAACCTTTTTGCGTACAAGTTATTTGACTCGGACCAATCAATTTGTAACCCAAGTTGCAAGTCACGCTTACGTTTGAACCAATAGTTGTGCCAAATGAATCATCAACCTCTCCATTAGGTACAGCCAATACGCCACAGTCTAACAAAATAGGCAATTGTTTGCCATAAAGATCATTACTTCACCCAGTAAGTTTGTGATAAATGATATGATATGATATATGAAAAAAATATCATTCCAGGCTTTAATAAATTATTAAAATAATATTCTGTGCAAGAATGACTTTCACAATGAGCTAGCATTAAAGAACCAGTTAAAAAGATGATCACGGGATAGTAGAAGACGACCTTCAACTGTGATCTGTTCCGTCCAGTACAGCCGTTATATCAAAGGTTAAGTATAGTGACAGTTTAGCCTTTTTATGTCTAATGGAATGAGAAAAAATGTCGAGATGAGCATGTCGTATGCCAATAATTACAGATTGGAACAAACTTAATTTTCAAAACCACTAGATATTTTGTACATCATTCAAATGATTCAACTTTCCATCGGACAAAAGCGCGTTCAAGATGTGTTTTGCTACCGAAATTGTATTTGTATTATCTTATACACAATACTACTATTCAAACTGAATGACATACAAAAAATTGACAGATCAAACACTCACCCGATGTATCGCAAATTGGGTTTTCACTCCATGTTCCATCAGACTGACAAGCGATCACGGAATCCCCAGATATGTTGAAACCTGGTTCACACTCAATTTTAGCAACAGTGCCATAAATGAACACTGTGACATTTGACTCCCCTTGGTTGGGTGTTGGGTCCCCGCAATCTTAGAATGATATTTAAGACGAAAAGGTTTAATCAGCACAACAAAAGTTATACTTTTGATTTTACTTGCTTGTTTCTAATCAATGAAAAGTTTAGAATATAATATACAGTAATGTTCTTAAGAATTAAAAGCTTATTGTAATTTCTTGTCCATCAATACCCAGGTAGTGTTCTATCAAATGAACTAATTTGCATTCTATTTCTTAATTCTGGACTAAATTCAAAACATTAACATTCATCCGTCGAGTAGAGGAATACGTTGTCAAAATAAAAAGTTCTTTAAAAGTATAAATTGCATACAAATTAATGTTATCATTTCCGTTTCAAAAATGATTTTACCTTTAGTTACTGAACTTCACTTCTTTCTAAATTAATGTGAAAAATAAATGTCCATTACAGCAACAATATTGGCATTCAGCGTCTTCTGATTAATAACCAGATAAGTAAATAGATCAAGTAAAATTCAAAGACCATTTTTTAGAACCTTTGCTATAATACACTCGTACTCGTAATTACCAACTATTGTGCATTCAGGCCAGGTTTCCCAAGTTCCATTAGCTAAGCAGGAAACAAGATAACTACCACCTGGTTGATACCCATCATAACAAGAAACAACAGCAGTTTCTCCATACGTTGTTTTATTCTCGGAAAGTGTCGCTTCTGCATTGACAGGATTTGGTATATCACAATCTAAAATAAGTGTTCCATAAACTAAATACGATAGAATGAAACAAAACCCACCTCACAAAAGGAAATATATACTGCTCCAATATAATGATATACATTGATAGTGTATATGTTATTTCATTTATATACATGAATTGCTATTTAAAATCTGAAACAAAACTTAATTTGCAAGAAAGCCTGAATTATACTCCTTTGCCAAAGGATACAGTCCACTTGTTTCAAATTTGAGTGTCATTTCAAATATAGATTAAAAACGACGAAAATAAAACATTTTATAGTATTAAACCTTTGATGTTACACGAAGGGTTATCTGTCCATTCCTCGCTAGGTTGACACATTATCACAGTTTCACCTTGTATTTCATATCCTTCGTCACATGAAACCATGGCAACAGTTCCGTTTGTTGTAGATGTTGTGTTAATAGATCCAAACTCAGGTGTTGGGTCGTCGCAGTCTTAAGAGAACATTAATGAATTTAGTCTCTTGTTAAATTGTGCATTTTCATAGAGGCTTAATGCTTGAAGGTTTTTAACTTAAAAGTATGTGTTTAAACTGACTTACCTATGACCTTGATATCTGTTCTTGTGGCCATATCAATTATTTCATTTTTTTCAGAACGCTTTTAAGTGTTTTCAAGTGAAATTTTCCTATATAATTATTTTCAAAGAAGATATCTAGATCATTTAACTTTTTCCGTATGATACTGATAAAAAGGTCGATCATTCGATAGACAGCTAATTATTTAATGTCATACCTATCAATTTGCAAGTTGGACTGCTGCTCCATGTCGCATCAAGTTCACAACGTATTTCAGAATCACCAATCAAATTGTATCCGTCGTCACACGTGACCGTCACAGCAGCAAGGTAATGTGTAGATGAGGAATTTATGCTTCCATTTGAAGGCTTTGGTGAGGGGCATTCTTAAAAACAAATCTTTAATTAAATATAAAAATTTAAATCAATGCAAGTATGTCATTATAAAATTCACATTCCTATAAAGTATTTTATGATGCCTCATTGTAATACATACAAATGTTTGACATGTGAAGTGAATTAATTTAAAACATTTGTATGTATTACAAATTCATGAAAATGGAAATAAATATAAGACTAAAACAATATAAGAGTAAAGCAAATATCCCGGCAATTTGAACTGCACAAACATATCAACAGTGTATACATGAATATCTAATTGGCTTTGTTTTTTCTGAATAGATCTTCTTTGTCCGAACCATAATATTTGTTACAAAATTGGGAAATTGCTATGAAAAACGGTACGTTTTGTGATGATGATTGTTGAAATCACTTACATACTCTTGGTCAAATGATGTTATTTTTTATCGTTTAGCAAAAAATTTAAAAAAAACTTTGAAATAACTAATTGTGGCTTTTTTAATTTATTGCTCTTACCAGTACAAACAACAGAAACGTCGTTGAAGTGAAAGCAATTATCATACGTGACGTAACTACAATTGTTGATATGTGTAGAATTATCTTCACATTGTAAGTCATCAACAAATATTGGGCCAGAACCTTCGCCAAAGTAGGCACCATGGTGAAATGAGGCAGCAGGACTGGAAAAATATATTTGATTAATAAATATATTGATTAATTTTTCTTCATGAAGCTACATTTTGATTAGAGTGTCAAAATAATGTTAAATTACATTTCGTTTGATTTTCAATCACCTATTTAGTGTTGCACAAGTAAATTGTTATTAGACAGAGGAATAATAAAAAATATAATTATGAGTACATGTATGTATATCTTTAAAAACATTTCAAGCACATGTATAAAGTTTGTTTTTAAGCGACATACAAAAGAATGTAGAACATTCTCGAAAGCAATGCACTCAAGCATTGGTTGAATCACTTATTGATATTGATCTGTATTTATTTAAAATACAATTAAGAAAAGTCTTTCTTACGGGAAACCAATCATTGCACATATTGTGTCTGCTTCATTTTTACCGAAACCATGGTCACATACTGTTCCCCAAGTGTCCAAAGATTTTATTTCCACCCTACCATTTGACGTTGAGTTCCCTCCTAACAGTCTTATTTCAGTGATATCTAATGGGTAGCCTAAAAAAGACAAAGTAACCTTTAATGCAGTTAATAATGTAATAAATTTTAAAAAAAATAATATTACTCTTTTGCTCCCAGCATTCTCTAACATTTATACATTCTTACTTTCTGTCAATTCTGCTATAACAAAAAATGCTTCTTGTCACAATAAGTAGCGTGATTTCGTTTTATTCCCTTATGTCTTATTTCATCAATACATCATGATTGTTTGCAATTAATTTTAAAGTTTTTTTTTATTATTTATCATTTTCAATGAGTGCATTAATTTTGTAGATACCGTATTCTTGACATTCTCCTTCTGTTTCCCATGTCTGTGTTACATTGTCACAAGTCATCTTTAATATGCCTAAATATGTTTTATAGAAGGAGCAGTCAGCATACAAAGTTGAACCATTGTATGTAAAATAATCAACATCCCAATGAGACTTGTCTGGCTCCCCGCACTCTAGAGAAAATTGAATAGCTTGCAATTATTATTGTTTATATATCTTCCTATTATTACATTGTTGTATTTTCATTCGTATAAATTTCAAAAGCATTAAAAGTAAATACAACGTTCGGCTTGCTTAATGGTAGCATGATTTTCATAGTAAAATACGAAAGTACACTCAATTTGATAATGCACCTTAAGTACCATCGATAGTGACTGCAGACTTTGACCACATTATTCTTAATATTCCACTAATGAAATTTTATATAAAAAAGAATCTGTATGTTTTAAGCGTAATATAAATAGAGAAAATTGAATAGGTATAGGTCAAAATATATGCACAGCCGTGCAAAAACGTGTTCACGGAATGGGAAAAATGGCTGGGGTTGTATGTAATGAAACATATCCATTGATAATATATTTCATTATGAGCATTAGATACTAGAGCAATAATTTTAGCCTACCATTACATACAACAGAAACGTCTCTGCTGTGGCTACAATCATTGAGGAACAAATACTGGCAGTCACTTAGCACATAATCATAATTGTCACACAAAAGTTGATCAATATAGACTGGTCCATTGCCTTCCCCGTACTGGGCTCCGATGAAAAACCGTACATATCTGTATCGAGAAATATATATTTTAGTTATTGTATATATTTAAATTTGTCACTTACAAACAAATTATAAAGGTTTCTTTTAAAGATTTGTTTCACACAAAAAGGGAATATGCATGATAAGTCATAAAATATATAGGAATAAATATAGGTCAATAAAACGCTTCACAGTACACTTCCCTTTGAACATATAGAAACTTTATTCAAGTCAGATGAGAAGCACCTAGAATTTGACAAGGGAAGTCTTAATAACATATGGGCCTTCTTGCTGAAAAAGAATTACTTGATTAGTAATTTTAATAGTATTTATTATGTTTTATTCGATTGGAATAAGATCCGGATTTGTTTTTCTTAAACAATATGATTTTAAGCAACTAACTTTAATCCTATCATATTACAGATAACCTTTGCATCTATATTATCAAAGCTTTTATCACAAATAGTTCCCCATGTGTTGTCTACTTTGATTTCTACCCTGCCATCGTTAGGTCCTGTTCCATTCGATAAACGCACATCCGTAACATTTAAAACAGGACCTGAAAATAAGAATATAATTATAAAACATTTTTTTATAAAAACGTTAAGAAACTAAAGGAACTAACGCTATTTAAATGTTAATTACAAAATGAAAATATAGCATTCCTACCATTTAATTCATACTGACTTTCATTTTAGCTCACCTAAATACACGGTTCTCGTGTGAGCATAAGGATCATTAATTGTCTGTCATCCATCGTCATTAATTGCTTCAAATGACATACATTATGTAACCAATTCACAAAATTATATAACGTATCTGAGGTGTTCATTCATGAAGTCTTATCAGACTTCTTTAAATCGTTTAATCAATTGCGCATATTAATCAAAAAGCCCAAACTTTTGCCGAAAAAGAATGATATCTTAAGAGCGTACACTATCTTGTTGCTGAACTGATATTTGAAGACAAGCGAAAGCAAAACAATTAAAAAAAAAACATAAAAACATTTAAATCGTTTTCTTCTCAATACACGTAACAAGATTTTACAAATATTGACTCTGTGATAACACTTGGTGTCACTCGCTTTACAAAGTTTCATATTGAAATCCTGTGAAACATTGTTTTTCCCTAAAATGTTTTTATTTTTAACTTATCGAGAATGTATTTAAAGCAGCATGCCTCCAGATTCATGCTAATTTTCATGAAAATTTAAAAATGTATTTAATAGTATACAATTGTAAAGTTACTAAAATAATGCAATTTACACATTATCAATGGCACTTTCAACCTATGTTAATTACTATAAAGAGGTCAAAATCTGCTAAAATAGCCCTTACTGCGTTAGTAACGCATTAGAAATATAATTATAAATACTGAAAAATTCGATCATTAATCGCACATAACATGTAAATTTTTACAAGAATTTTGAATCATTATACCTTTCCTAAAATCTTAGTACGTTTTATTCAGGTTTGATATTATCGAAATATTTTTGCTCATCTGGAGGCGTGCAGCTTTAAGAATAGGGACATGTTAATCATCAAATGTCATCAAAGTCAATTTATTACGGGTTTCTTTACATTTGACTATTTTTATCGAATGTCAGTTTTCATTGAAAATTGTCTATTTCCAAGCCCCACTGTACACCGGCTGAATAGGTTGTAATGAAACTAAGCATGACATATATTAAAGAAATAACAAGGAAGCTTGTTAAAAACTTCAAAGTATTATCTTGTGTATTTAATGCATTTTGTGTATTTAATCTTTAATGGTCAGTTACTAACTTCAATTGAGCTGAACACAGATTGATTTGATAGATTTCAATTCATATTGACATGAATGTGTTGTTCAGAAGATACTCTGTGTCAAAAGTATCATATATAATATAAATATCATAAGACTCCTATTGTAGGAAATTACCATGACACACCACCGACAGATCATTCGCATGTGTACATGCACCATAATAGTTGTTTGAGACATATTTGCAGTCGTTTATATCCGTGTAAGCGGTGCTGCTACAGTACAAACTCTCGATATATATTGGCCCTTCACCTTCTCCATAGTATGCATTAGAATTCCAGCCTGTATATCTGTAAGAAAGAAAACATTGTCAAAATTAAATAGTTAAATTAGCGTTATAAATTGATGAACTATTTGCTTAAAAGCAATTAAAGTGAAGTGATCAAACCAATGCTGTATTATTACAACACCTACCTTATGTATTATGCTAACGGTACTGACACATGTAGATACTGACATTTATATATAGACACTGAAAAAAGTTCTTACCTTAATCCAAGCATGTTACATATAACATATCTTGATTTGTAATACATATTCCGTGAACAAATCGTGCCCCATGTATCATTCACTTCTATTTCGACTCTTCCATGATAAGGCCCATTTGTACCGGCTAGACGCAATCCAGTAATGTTCAGCTGATACCCTTTGAAAAAAAGAAAAACATGAAATAATGTGATCATTCTGAAACATAATAAAAATTGCAGAGTCGATTTAATTGAGTCTGTTAATGAGTAAGACATCCATTACGCCCCACTTAAGCAGTATTAAATCTTCAACTTAATGTGTTGGAATTGATCCTGAAGGACCAGACAAAATATAGCAAAACTGAATCACAAATTCAAAGAAAACCCCGCCATCACTCAATCTCATTAAAATCAGATCATCGTTTTTGCTCCGTTACTCTTCGCTACGTAGAGTAGGGTAGTGAAGCGACAGTTAGGATATGATTTTAATGAGATTGGCCATCACTTATATTAAAATGATATGAAAAGCTTTGATAAATATGCCATTTTCTTAATGTAACAACAAAGTTGTTTAACAAAACTCGATGAACTCTTGTACTTTCTTCTATTGGAAACAATTCTATCCTCTTTTATATATTTAATATGTATTCGACATAAGTTAATTGTGATTTTGTTAAATGTTTTGACAGCATATATTAAACAAAGACATTAAAATATTAACATGGAAAGGAACCATTTAAATATAAACGAATAACTTCTAAGTCAACTCTGTTTTATATACGCAGGAAAAGAAGCAGTTAAATACCAAAAGTTCAAATAATGGTATCATTTGAGCTCTTGTAATTTATTCAATGTTTAAATATTTGAATTGATGTAAATATGGTAACCTGTACAGATTACTGCTGCACCATGGGTGTACAAACAATCATTATCTATATTGTACGAACAATTGTTGATATGTGATTCATTTCCATTGCATTTGAGATTCGAAATGAAAACCGGACCGTTGCCTCCGGTATCTTTGTAAAACCGATCTGCTCTGTTTAAGAAAAAAAACATACATTTATCTCTGTCATTGTGAATAAATCAAATAAGCAAACAAACGCAAAAACAAATCTTAAATGATCCGGATAAAACAAAGGCTTTTAATATGCGGTGTATGTTGCAAATGGAATTCTGAATAAGGTTTTTGCAAATTTTGCTATGTGTATTTTCTTCGTCAATACTAGAGTTTGAATTGTATTGTAGTCTATATGTGTTTGGTGCCAACAAATTTGATTTACGATCATTCGTATGTTACTTTCTTATATCGTATGAGATCAGAGAATAAAAATTTTAGTTAAATATTTTTTTTCAAAAATGTTCGACTTAATGATGTAACAAAGATAAATGCGTACTCTAATCCGATCATGTTACAAATGACGTTCGCCTCTGCTATGGTAAAATTGTCACTACAAATAGTCCCCCAAATACCATCGACCTTGATCTCAACGCGACCTTCGTGAAGATCATAATTGCTGACAAGTTTCAAATCAGTTATGTTTAATGGATACGCTGTAATGAAAACATCAAAAAATGCATAAAAATGGCTGAGTTTGTAATTGTACTTTACAAGCTCAATTAGGAAGTATAATAATAGAGTGCTGTTAGGAAAATAGAAATCTTAAACTTTTATTCTTGTATATTTTATGCCCCCACAAAGTGGGGGGCATATAGCGTTGCACTTGTCCGTCCGTCTGTCCGTCCGTCCGCACGTCTGTCCGTCCGAACGCAACTCCTCTTAAACCGGATGACAGATTTTGCTTAAACTTCCAAGGATGAACAACCTTAATGTGTAGATGGCAGTAAAGAAAGGAATTTTCGCTGCGACCAAATTTACCATAATAATGGCCCTTTGTTGATGTTTTCACTATATACCATATATATGTTGTCAGTGGGGGCATCCGTGTCCTTTGGACACAGTTCTAGTTTTATATATTTTGTGCATGTTTTTTAAACTTTTTTATCATTTTATTGCAATAAAATCATTTTATTGCATAACATTTGAGTCCATGCCTGTATTACACAATGAGGAATTTACACTTCGTCGTAATGATTACATTGTGTTTTGCTTTGAAAATTCAATATTTTCAGTATATTCAGTATTTTAATTCATATCTAGCAAGTTGGTGAGGCCATATACTAAAAGTAATGCATAAATGTACACAAATTGCTTAGTTGGCTTGATACTAATAAAGTCCTGGCACAATGCACTACGGAGCAATTATTCATGCCTGTATATTTTATATAGTTGATAGACAGTATAAAAATGCCTACATATGTTCGACAATTCGTTTTCGTCTGATATAAAACAAAAAAGTAACAAAAAAAGTAAGAAGAGAAAAAGTACACATTTTGTAAAGCCAGAACTCGAGTGGTTAAGGTCGTTGATTTCAAACCACGATAGCTTACGGAACGTCGGTGGTTCTACCCAGGTGCCCGTTCGTGCCTGAAATAATGCACGGAAGGGCACTTGAGGTCTTCCTCCACCAGTAAAGCTGGAACGTCGCCAAATGACCTATACTGTGTCGGTGTGACGTAAAACCCAATTAAACAAACAAACAAATATTCGATTCTGTATGACCATCTTTAACTTTTGATTGTTGAAACATTTTAGCACAACTAACATGACTCTCACAGTATTAACCAACGTGACTCTCACAGTGTTTTAAAATTTCAGCATGCATTTAATAATACAATGTATGTAAAATATACAAATATAAGTAACGTACAATATTTTGATGAACATTCATCATTTTGCAGCCAAGTCCCATTTTCAAGACAATCAAATGTTATTTTTTCTGGTTGATAGCCATCGTCGCACTTTGCAGTCAGTACAGTACCATTAAAAGAATCAAAAGATCCAGAGTGTATTGTCGGTTTACCACAAGCTGTAAACAAAATAATATTAAGTTTTAGATGAATATAAAATTGTTTTATATGTGTATGAGAGAACGTTAAAGGTGAAACATTTACCATGCTCTCTAGCACCGGCTTAAACGTTATTCAGATCTCAAAGCTCTTATTAATCCTTTAAACTCGATATATTGGAATTAATAAGGATCAAAAAATATTTCAGAAGTTTTATATTTGGTTCAAGATTACATTTATCAAAGGAGGCAATCAAAACAAACAATACCCGAATAATTACAGAGCATTTTGATTTTGATATTCAATATATTGGAAGCAATTATCACTAAGGATCAAAAAAATATTTCAACAGTTTAAAGTTTGGTTCAAGATGACCTTTATAAAAGTCATACATAACAAATGACACCAGTAACAATTCCAGAGTGTTTTGATTTGAATAAGCAACTTTTTAAAAAAAAAACAGGAAGTGCCCTGCTGAAGACCAATGCATATTAGCCAACTAATTCATCACCATATTTATTTATAAGGAACTCAGCAAGTCACGTTTATGTATCGGTTTGTAAATAATGTTAGTTGACCTGTATATGTTTGGATATAAAAGGCATTCTATCAATGATATAATACAAGAAAATGAAGATGAAAATAATACTTACGTGTACATACTAACGAAATATCATAACTGTGAGAGCAATAGTATCGAAATGGGGGCAGAAAACTACACTGACTTATATGAGTGTTTGTAGCAGAGCATCCAATACGACCGATGTATATAGATCCTGTTCCTTGTTCGTAAACAGAAATACGCGGAAAGTAGTGCGTCAATCTACAATTCAATACATTCCACCATCATGAACATATGTAACTAAGAGTACTTATATTGGAAACAAGCTATTTAAATCCGGCGAGCAGAGGTAAACATTAAATTTCAATTTCAATTTCTTTTAGCATGTTTCCATTTATTGTCAATTTCCAAGAATTTCCCATTATTGATGTTCATACGCGTAACAAATGTCGTCATAAGAAATCAAAATTTCTTGTTATATATTTCAAAGTAGTTTGTATTTTTAGACGGTGTCATTTAAAGATTACTTCGTACAAATATTAATATTTTATGATATTTTTGAAATTGATAATTTGTCGATCATTTTATCACGACTGTCTAAATTTTCAATTGACTGATGAACACTTAAACATTAATTTTAACTTCCTTGTATTTAACACATTTAGAAACAACATTTCTGTGCGATAGCAAAGACATTTTTGAGCTACCTAATTTTTAACACGTATAAAAAATCGAATGGAGTACAAAATATGAAATTTGTTCTGAACATTCCAACGCTATATTTTATTCACTACATTTTGTATTGTAGTTTAGAACATTCATATTTTCTATGATACACATTAACTTACTTTAAATCCATTGATTGACATAATGTGTCGTCATCATAAGGTCCGATGTATGTACTGCAAACAGTTCCCCAGCCATCGTTGATATTGACTTCAACACGACCGTCGTATGGACCTGTTCCCCCGACAAGCCTAACATCTGTTATATTATAAGGATATTCTAAAACAAAACATAAAGGGTATAAATAGATTACATTAAATTTTCATAGAGGTTCAAGTAATTTCGATAATTATAATGATTTTGAGAGGATGATTTTGAGAGAATCAATAGTGGTATTGTAAATAAAGTTACTTAGAGTACAATATGGATTTGATATGAATTTTTGTATATGTATGTAAAAACGAGACTAAATGGTGTTTGATATTTTTGGTTTGAAATAAAAATGAGGCTGAAGGCTATATTGGGTATCATATAAGTTAAATGTGATTTTCTGGACTATAAAAAGGAAAACGCAAAGCTAAATTGATGAGATTTGATCCAATACTGATTTTAAAGTAGCGAGATCACATTGTGAAAACGCTGAAAAGTGTTTGTTTTAATGAATAAGGAGAGGGATATCAGCGTTTTTGTAAATTATTGCACCGTTCAAAGTCTAATGTGTTGAGATAAATTTGATGATCAATAAACTCTTATTATTATACTAAAACAGATAGTAGAGACTTCAATGTACAATCTACAACTTCAAAGTTATTTTCAAATATACTCCAAAATATACGTTGACAATTGAAATTTTAGAAAGAAAGTCTCATTATTTTTTGCAACTCTATAAATTAATTTATCTCTTTAGCTAATTTCATTGCAATTGTATTGTATATATATATATAGCTCCTGTACAGAAAACTATGCAGACATACAAACAGAACCATTTACAGAACTTACTGCACTCAACGTAGATTGGATAGATACTCGAACACGTTTGACGAACATCGTATAAACATTCGTTTATGTGTTCCTCCGTTCCTATACAATCGAGTTTGTCTAAATGATAAAGGTTTAAAGTGCTTCTTAAACGATTCCCAGAATAGTACTGCCAGTAGCTGAAATCAAAATAACAAGAATTTGTAACAGAGTTACCAACGTCCCCCGCCCCGGGAGTTTTATATGAAGCATAAAATTATGCTATTTCAAAAGATTGAGGTATGGATCTAAGGACTTTCAGTCCAAAATTATGATCAATGCTAGATCTGCAAATGTAACAATAAATTTGTTAAAAAAATAAAATGAAACACGGAATTTAAAAATCTATCATGTTAAGCTTTGACCTCTAAGTGTGACCTTGACCTCGGAGGTAGGGGAGCAGGTGTTGTGCATGACATAACGTCTTATTATTGAGACTATTTGTGCCAAGTATTTTCAAAATCCCTTGAACTATGAAGAAGTTATAGATTGAACACAAAATATACCCTATAACAGACTATGTAAATCTTTGACCTCTAAGTGTGACCTTGACCTTGGAGGTAGGGACACAGATGTTACGCATGACATATCATCTAATCATTGTGACTCTTTGTGCCAAGTATTTTCAAAATCCCTTAATCTATGAAGAAGTAATGGACGGGACAAAAAATATACCAAATAACAGACTCTGTTAACCTTTGACCTCTAAGTGTGACCTTGACCTTAAAAGGTTGGGGTGCAGGTGTTGTACCTGACATATCGGCTTATTATTGTGACTATTTGTGCCAAGTTTTTTCAAAATCCCTTGAACTATGAAGAAGTTCTAGATTCGACACAAAATATACCCTATAACAGACTATGTTAATTTTTTACCTCTAAGTGTGACCTTGACCTTGGAGGTAGGGATGCAGGTGTTGCGCATGACACATCCTCTTATTATAGTGACTATTTGTGCGAAGTATTTTCAAAATCCTTTGATCTATGAAAAAGTTATAGACCAGACACAAAATATACCCTGTAACACACTATGTAAGTATTTGACCTCCAAGTGTGACCTTGACCTTGGAGGTAGGTGGCCGGCTTTTGCGCATGATACATCATCTGATTATTGTGAACAATTTTCGCAAGTATTTACAAAAGTCCTTCATAGATAAGAAAGTTATGGACCGGACACGACATATACCCTCAAATAGACAATGTTGACCTTGAATGAGCAAGTACGACCTTGACCCTGAAGGTACGGGTCTGGTTGTTGCGCATGACACATCGTCTTATTATAACAAACATTTGTGCCAAGTTATCTCAAATTCCTTTGATAAATGAAAAAGTTATGGACTGGACACGAAATAAACCCTGTAACAGACTATGTTAATATTTGACCTCCAAGTGTGACCTTGACGGTAGGTGACTGGTTTTTGCGCATGACACATCGTCTGATTATTGTGAACAATTATGGCAAGTATTTACAAAATCCCTTCATAGATAAGAAAGTTATGGACCGGACACAACATATACCCTCAAATAGACAATGTTAACCTTGAATGAGCAAGTACGACCTTGACCCTGAAGGTACGGGTCTGGTTGTTGCGCATGACACATCGTCTTATTATAACAAACATTTGTGCCAAGTAATTTCAAATTCCTTTGGTAAATGACAAAGTTATGGACCGGACACGAAATATACCCTGTAACAGACTATGTTAATATTTGACCTCCAAGTGTGACCTTGACATTGAAAGTAGGTGACTGGTTTTTGCGCATGACACATCGTCTGATTATTGTGAACAATTATGGCAAGTATTTACAAAATCCCTTCATAGATAAGAAAGTTATGGACCGGACACGACATATACCCTCAAATAGGCAATGTTGACCTTGAATGAGCAAGTGTGACCTTGACCCTGGAGGTAGGGGTCTGGTTGTTGCCCATGACACATTGTCTTATTATAATAAACATTTGTGCCAAGTTATTTCAAATTCCTTTCATAAATGACAAAGTTATGAACCGGACACGAAAGTGTGACGGACGGACGGACGGACAGACGGACGGAGCCTATTTCTATATCCCCCTTTTTTCTTCGAAAAGGCGGGGGACAATAAAGGCACTAGCATAATTATTATATCATACCCATGAATGGCATCTTCTGATGTGCACAATTACATTCATATACTTATACTTTTATCTGCGATATATGGCCACCAGCCAATACACACATATACAGAATATACATTCAAATTATACAGAATGTGATATAAGTTATACCTTTATGAAACGCTAAATGTTGTGTATTTAAGCATTGTGTTATCAATATAAAAAGAGAAAATATGGGCATTCATCGTAGCTTAATCTATCTTTTTAAGTTTAAAGATATTTATCAGTTAGGTTTCATTTACTATGTTTATGAACGGTGTTGATCAGTTCATGTTACCACCAACGGAACTGATAAATTGTTTTTGATGTATCATATTAACTACTCAATAAAAATTTGATGTCATGCGACACACTGGTTCTAAGCATACTAAATAATTTCTGTTCACTTATTACAAATCCAAATTGACCTTATACAAGTTAAGTATAGTTTTAGTAAACATTACTTAAATCCAAGCATCTTGCATATCACTATTGCATCGCTGCTTTGAAAGCTGTTACGACATATCTGTCCCCAGGTACCATTGACCTTGAGCTCGACGATACCATCGGTAAGACCTATACCGTTGACAAGCCGTATGTCAGTAATGTTCAGTGGATACCCTGTAATTCAATTCAACAGTTTATTGTATAATTAGGCCACCAGCCCATACACATTACATTACATTCCATTACATAATACATGATACATAATTATAGTATAACAGCCCTGTGATGCAATAACATTATATTTATGTTTTCAAGAAAACACAACAATTATACACAAAATTATTTCAGACATATTTTATGTACAAAGTCAATTAAATAATATTCTAGTCAGACGTAAGACATTGTATTATTTCTTTTGTAGCAAAATACAAATATATAGCAAGTTCTCTTAGACTTCTAAACTTTGACAAGACATTAAATTATAGAATATTAATATTCATTTGGAGTCTGATAATATACAGAAGGTATGTATTTAATCCTAAAGTCATTGTAAAGAGGATACACTAACAAAAAATGGTAAAAATCTTCCAAATAACATTCACAAAAAGGACAATTCCTACATTAAACAGTAAACTCATAATGTCTACATTTTTTACCATAAGGCTATGTGCTGAACTACGTTACCTTGCCATACAAGTTCTAATTTTTTATTTTTTTTTTCAATTACATAGTTTTGTTTAAAATTTAAATAATGGATGCATAATTTACTCATAGTACTACACCTATCTCTCCATTCCTGTACATATTGATCCTTTAATCTTTAACAAAAATAACTTTGGATTGTCAACACTTTGATCCTCCCAAACATAACTATAGCCATTTAAAAATAAAAGCACACGAACATCTGTAGCCCAGTTATGAAAACCCATGTTGTTAACATTTCATAACATAAATTTACAATATGAAATGTATTTTTGCAGTATTTATATATATATAATCCCCCAGTAAAACTGTTCAGAACTATATAATAATGTGGCTGCTTCTTTACATCATACAGTTTAAAAAAATGTAGTGCTAGGTAGACAAGGTAACTGATCTAGAGTGTTAATCATTAAAACTGCAGTCGTTTTGCTTTATTTGACATTTTTTCCGCCATTTTATAGATACACAATCTATTTGTAAAATAGATGCCAACATATGAAAAGACATTAACAACTTCTAAATAATCGTTACCATATTTCATTCCTCTCTTTCAGCTAGCCTACCACCTTTCTTGAACACCAATATATTGGTCTTGGATATATTAACAGTTTACTTTAGTCATTACAAAATTTATGTAGAGAACATTTAGCTGTTTCTGCAAACATACAACTGTATCTAGCATGAGGGCAATGTCATCTGCAAACATTAACATGAATAATTCAACCAAACTAAAAACCAACTGTATACCACCAATTTGTTCATTACATACAACTGTATATAACTCATTTATAAACATAGAAAACAATATTTGACTTAAGGAACATCCTTGACGGAGCCCCACAGGGAAGCCAGATACATTTGTTATCTCTGTCCTAGTTCTAAAACATGATTTTACTGAAATATAAATTGAATATATAGCCTTAAACAAATGACCTTTGATACCATTATTTCTTAGAGATGTGTATAATAAAGATCTATCAACAGAATCAAATGGTTTTTGAAAGTCTATAAATGTTACATATACTTATTTTCCATTCATTCTAAAATATTTAGTGACAACAGAATAAAGAATAAGTGCATTGTCGATAGTCCTATATACAGTTCTAAATCCAGCTTGATATTCACAAATTCTTCCATAAGCTTCAACATAAAAATTAATCGTCTAAGCTTCAACATAAAAGTTAATCGTCTTGTAATGATAGAGATATAAACGTTATTTAAAACATCTATTTAAGCGATCCTTCAATAGGTTGATGGGTTTTTTAAATTGCCCCTCATTAATATTGGACTAATTATTTTTTCAGTCCTTTGGTACAAATAATCTATTAAAAAGATTCATGTTATCTATGGGCGATTTTTAACATTTTGATATTCACAAAGCAACGGAGATACTATTTTGCGCATGAGCAAAAAAGTAAGGTCGGTGTATCAGTATCAAACAGTTTTTTAAACATTCTGACCTAATCCATATAGTTTATTTTGTGTGTTCAATTCTGACATAAGAAATTTATATATGATATTAAACATATAAATAGATTGAAATGGAATCTTTTATTTAAGCGATAAAATGTAAATAAACCATATGGGTTACATCAGAATTATCTTAAAGAGGAATGTAATACAATTAATGTGGTTTGATATCAAACCATCCGGATTTTTCTATCAAACATCACAATGGGCGTTCATTATGTAACATCCTCATCCGAAATACTATTCAGTTAGTTATCTTAGTTGAAGCAGCAAACTTACCTTTAGCCTGTTAAATATTAATGACAAGCGAATTGCATAATCTTGCATACTAGTAATTGGTACTGGGAGCTTTCTGTATTTAGCTTGAACGTATTAATATATATTAAGTATAATGATGGTCCATTCATTTTAAATGTGCGAAATATCAAATAACGGTAGTGTGTATTTATCTGTGATTGTGATAGCAAAAAACGGTTAAAGCAAAAGAAACAACATTATTTCAAGGGCAAAACATTCCAAAACGAAGTCGATGACAACCCCACCCTCTATCCATTGTTTTCATTAAAAATATTCCTTTTATCTTATTCGAAGATAATTCAAGGTTTAAATGCATTCTTTAAAGTAGTTTTCAGTCTGGTTAATATCTTTATGTAACCCTAGAATACACCTTTAATCTAATGTTCCAGTTATATTGCAGGTAAAGACGAAGGAAGTGGCGTTGGAAAGGCTATTACATCTATTGCATAGCAACATTTTAATAAAGCTAACATCTGACCTTAACATGCAAAGAAAATAAAAGAAAATCAAAATTTATAAATGTATCTCTTTCCTCTTGCAAGTCTAGCTCAAGTCTAGCGCATTAGCGTTAACTTATCAATCCAGAAAATAATTCAAACTTACCAGATGTTGCACATATAATGTTGTTTGACCAGCTGCCATTAGTTTGGCATACACTTGTGTGTGTGTTTGTCTGGTAGTCAGTTACACAAGAGGTTGTAAGAACTGTACCATTTGATGATATTGACTCAATGATTCCATTTTTGATGTCGATTTCTCCACATTCTGTCAATGAAATGAAATGATCATTCATAGTGTTCTCACAAACCATTTTACCTATGTGTTTCACGAATTAAAACTGGTTAGTGTTAATAAACTTAATGTTATGAAATAACTTTTATTTTTCATGTTATTACTAAATATTATAATAATGTAATGATCAGTAATCGTTTATAGGTAGGTTTTTAAGAATTAGGAAGTTTAAAGAGAAGACGTTTAATTGCTTTTTATATTTATGAACTTGTTGGCCATAACAGATAATATTTGATATGTTTTTCTAAAGTTTCTGTGACTCCTTATTTTAAAAGTTCACACCTATTAAAGATAATTAACATTTTCTGTGAACGAATCTGTACCTGTGCAGATTACCCCAATATCCCGTGAATGAGAACAAAAAGTATTGGGGTCGAAGCGACAATCTCTAAGGTGACTTTCATGTCCATAGCAATGAAACCTTTGAGCAAATACTGGACCTTTACCTAGCCCATAGTGTGCTCCCGTAAAGAATGATGTTGCTCTGAAATGGAAATTAATATTTTAGCATATAAATAGTCTTTGGTATTATTTATCTAACATTTAAAATGTGTTCAAAAAACAAATCTATTATAACATAAACGGAAATGTTCAGGTCTGTTTAGAATACAAATGCAACATAAGATTGAGACATTTGACAGGAAAACACGACAAATGATAAGCTTACATAAGAAGGATAAAACTATGTAATGATACAAGAAGATATTACATTCGTGTTCATGCAATTATCAAAATTTCATCAAGAATAGATAAGGAATAGTGTACTGAATAACTAAAATAGAGAGAAATAAGAATCCCGAAAGAAAGCCCAACACAGCACAATTGAAAATGTTGCAGGCTCGGTCTGATTTAGCCAGTTCATGGACGGTACTGTCAAGTGAAAACTACCGTCCACGCCCCCTAGCACCGGCTTAAGCAGAATTCAACATTTAACATGAACTGGTAAAATTTAGAATTTTGAAACATCCGCAGATGTGTTCATGTGGCGGTTATCATGGAACCTTCAATGTGAAACGTTAGTGCCATTCCATGTTAAGCGGCATATGGTTCCCAAGTAAAAAGATGTGTGTGCCCTAAACGAGAAAACAATGGGCGGAACTAAATAAAATGGAATTTTGAAAGGGGATCAGAAGTTATGAAGCCTGCATATCACAGATACGACGTCAACAGGACAAATTTAAAAAGCAGGCCACATATACTAAGGGTGATTCAACAGTATTCAAGCGAGGAATACTGGAACCACCCAACAAGAAAGATGCCAAATAAAAAGAACGAAAAAACCACAAGCACAACAATAATGTCGTGCTTAACGATCTTTAAGGATCGGAAATATAACATCCCTGATTGAATGTACGGGGTGACTTTTTACAGCCTCCACACGGCACAAACAACGCTGATGTGGCGATAAAATAGAGAAAAATAAGAATCCCGAAAGAAAGCCCAACACAGCACAATTGAAAATGTTGCAGGCTCGGTTTGATTGAGCCTGTTCATGGACGGTACTGTCAAGTGCAAACTACCGTCCACGCCCCCTAGCACCTGCTTAAGCAGAATTCAACATTTAACATGAACTGGTAAAATTTAGAACTTACGACGTAAATAGAAAAGAAAATAGGTGATGAGTTACATATGTAGGTTACACAGGCTTCTGCACTGGTTTGGAGAGTTTATGGCTGCCATTTCCCATCCAATGAGGAATTGGTTTATTTTTATTACAATTGAAAGAAAACTATACAGTATGTTTGTTTAACAAAAAGAGGAAAAATATTGAAGAGATTATTACAAAATTTAATATAATAAACATACGTCAGATTCAGTGTTCTGCATATAACTTCGGCGTCGTTCATGTCAAAAGCGTAATCACAGATTGTTCCCCAAACACCGTCAACCTTGATCTCAACACGTCCGCTAAATGTACCATTGCCATCTACAAGTCTTACTCCAGTAATGTCCAAATAATCGGCACCTGGTTATTGATACAAGGGATAATTTACTTTATGGTATTAGTCTCGAAAGTTATCTAGTAAATTGTAACAGAAGCATCCGTGAGTATTAACAATAGTCTGCAGGCCAATGAATATAGCAAATTGTACAGTTTAAAATATATGATTCGGATGATACATAAATAGCGGCAATTTTAGTAAGGTGATTGGTACTTGTAGCTTTCGTACAAATGCGCCTTTGATAGTTTTAGCGGTTATACAGTATAAACTATTTAGCCATATTCTCAAAAAATAAATACAGAAAATTTTTACTCATATTCAAAATAGCCTTTCAATTTTTGTTAAGAAATTGTAGGTCCATTTCCAAACATTTGCTTACACGTTGACAGGCCTGACACTGGTAGATGTTTTTAAACCTTTATCAAGCAAGAACATAAACAAATAACAACAAATCAAACAGAATGGTAATTACCATTGACATATGAAAGTAAGGAATTATAAGTTACCTGTTGTTGTGTGGACTGACGTCAGCAGGAACAACAGCATAAACCTTATCTTGCACATTTTATCTGTAAAAATATTTTTCTTTTGACTCGTTTTACTTTAACTACAAACACATGCATAGTAACATGAGAATACAGCGTATTTCCATTCAAAGAAAATTAGTTTCATCTTCTGCAACATTTACGGTACAAAAGTTACAGAGAATAAGTGTACATGTATATCATTTCCAACATTTACATGTACTCGTGTTGTTTAAAATACCTATGTGGTTACAACTACAATAAATTCACTAAATTATATAAATGAATAAATAAAGCGATGGCTTAAAGCCATCTTATGCCAAATACATATATGCATTTACTACAAAAAATATCTGCCACTTTCAAAAAGTTATCACCTCTGAATTGACAAAAGAAAATAGTACATGCTTAAAAGGATTTTTATATATTTTCAGCTGAGCCAAATAACATGATATGAGCCGCGTCATGACAAAACCAACATAGTGCGTTTGCGACCAGCATTGATCCAGACCAGCCTGCGCATCCGCGCAGTCTGATCAGGATCCATGCTGTTCGCTATCAGTTTCTCTACTTGTAATAGGGTTGGTAAGCGAACAGCATGGATCCTGATCAGACTGCGTGGATGCGCAGGCTGGTCTGGATCCATGCTGGTCGCAAACCCACTATGTTGTTTTTGTCGTGACACGGCTCATATTGTTTTTATTTTGTTTTTATCTCATCACATATCTATTATCGGCATGATCAATACTCGTCACGTATCTTTTTTTATCACATATGTGTAATCAAAACAAAATGCGAACTTAGACAGATATTCATATTCAATGGCAGATTTGATAAGCTATATAAAAGCTATTCATAAATTTTATAATAAAACAGATGTGTATTTTTTAGCTGGTAAATATGATGTGGTATGTACTGCAAAATTGATATTGACATCGGCTATCATATTCATCAGCTAAAACGTCCATATTTGTATAACATACTCGTATAATAGAAAAAAACGACAATGTTCACGCTATGATAAGTATATTCAACAGTTAAAAGTGTGTATTTTAAAAAATATTGTGTCAGCCAATAAAATATAAATATTTTGTTTTGAAACATAGTAATCTCTTATAAAAAAAATATTTTTGAATTAAATGTTCTACACTCTGATGAAACGAAAAACCTTTAAGTATCTATTCCATGCGCTAATTTTTAATTGTATGTCTGCACGTAAAGTTGATCCCTAATTTATTTGCATTTGTAAATCATATACTTATATACTCAATAAATGCGCAATTTGTTGTCAAATGATAGAAAAATATCAAACATTTCATTGATTGTTGCCAAATTATTAAAACAAAATATCATTGAATAAAGATGTTATATTCAAAGCGGAAGTTCTTAATATTAATATTTGCAATCATAAGTTCCAATGGGACGTTAGAATCCATATAAGTTTTGTTTGTCATACCCTTTTCACATTTCTGATGCGTGGGTAGTTGAAGCCTTTTATTAACACCCGCATAATTAAGTATTGCACCAGCTAGACCATGAACCATTATACATCTTATGAAATTGAAGAAGTCTTGTAAACTACATGTACTTGATAATCATATTTACTACCTATACACATTACATATTAACGTTATTTATATGGAAAGAAGCGCACGTTATCGTGATTAATCCCTGATAGCTTTAAAAGATTTTTCAGAAGGAAAAAACGAAAAAGAAACAAGATAACAAAACGTTTAACAGTACCTTATAGCAATACAACAAATATATCTTTATATTTTTGAAATACGGATTATCAAATAGAATAAAAAGAATTGATAAATTTTGAGACTCATGGAATCTGCAGCAACAGAAACCATTATAATGCTACAATATAGAACAAACAAACAGGGAAGAACATGCTCAAGCGGACATATTTTTCTTTGGTCTTCTCTTAAACATTGATGCATGGTAAACAACGGCCAAAAAGAAGTTCACATAAACTCCAATTAAACGAGGTGTGATCAAAAAGTTCTCGGCCCGATAAACTTCTAGCCATTACACTGACATTTACACACAATACGTCGATACCGATATCTTATTGAAGATTACTGACCGAGTTACACGCGGTTTTACACAGATAAAGTAATGATGACTATTTCTATAGAATAGTCTCTGTTATTTGGGGAACAACTTTTATCCTGTCACTTGTCTCAATTTCGGCCCGATAACAAGGTGCCGTATATTTTTACTGATCTACGGCACTTGATCACGTGGTATGCATGTTTGCCGGACTACTTTTCAAGAAAAAATATAAAAACTGTCGTTAAATCTTCTGTGTGTAGAATAACGAATTTTGGAAACGTTGATAAAACTTTGTTTGTTTATTTTATTTCACTCTATAATTTTTCAAGCGAAATAAAAATTATTTAAAGTGAAATAAATGTAAAATTTAACTGTTTGCGACATTTTAGAATAGCGTACTTGATTTGATTGTTTTGCACGTGCTGTTTGGCGCTACATTGTGACGTCACGTAAACAATACTTTAAACGTCTGTACAGCGTTAACGACTGAATAAAAGATATTGGTATCCGAATTCATTTTCTTAGTTAGACCATTTTCTTTCATTCTAGATAGTTTTCACAACAAAATTCGACAAAAAATTGTTTTTATTTATCACATTTTTCAAACAAAATGGCGCCCTCAATGTGAAAATACACGGGGAGATAATAAGAACGGCGAGTGCATTGGTGTAGAAAAATTAGGGCCTTCTTTGTTTATATAGAAACATTTCCGATAGTGTGATTAAAGGTTGTTTGCCTAATAAAATTCTTTAAAAAAACGGTGACGGGATAAATAGAATAATAGATTGGTGCCGTGGATGGAGAAAGTTTATCTGGCTCTGCTCCGGAATTTATTGGGTTCGCCTTCGGCTCACCCAATAAATTCCTCCGCCTCGCCAGATAAACTTTCTCAATCCACGGCACCAACCTATTATTCTCTATATACCCTGCCCTGGTTATGACGTAGGTACTGTATCTACGTCATATTCTTTTAACGCTGGCGTCGAATATTGTAACAAGGAAGAAATGAATTGTTGAAAAAAATCAAAAGAAATCGCTGATCAAAACAACAATCGATAGTAGTATCTTTTAAATATGAATCGATAAGACGTCAGTGATTATCTGTGTGTCCTATAAGCAGCAATTTTGTTGATATTTTCCACGATTGAAGCGGATTTGTTCTTGATGTCTTTGGTGGGAACATGCCTTTTACATGGAACACTGAATCAAGCAGGATATTATATGGACAGAGAAGTTTTCTTAGTCAATTCAGATTTAGAGATCTAGATCTTCAAAAGATTGTTGTCGAGAACAGTTTAATTTTAAATTATTCATATGCATTGTTTTGTGAAATGAACATAAGGTTGTACTTTGTCTAGCTTTACTGTACAGTATCGTAAATTGACAATTTTATTATGACGATCCATGGATCTACTCTCACCCACGGCTATTCATTTAGCTATGTCTGTATCTCGCTATAATGATAAATCATTCGCTGTGTGGTAACGATGATGATTGTAATGAAAACCTTTAAAAAAAGAAATGATGGAGGGTTCATCTAGCTAGGTGCACTTTGCTATTTTCAATGGCGTTAAGAATGGTGGAAGCAAGAAATTTTTGTTAACTTGTGCCAATTGTCCTGAATTCGGGAAAAAAGGTGTCTATAAGTCTAACACGTTCATAATAAATCAGTTATTATTAATCAGTTTTAAAATATATTTTATTTGCTTTTAAATCTTCAAAATAGATCTATAATTTTCTTTTTGCTGGACGAGATTGGAAGAATGTGATTAAAGACAACACTACTGGTCTGTATGGGAAATGTGGAAATAAATGCGATGGTGATCAGCAGCTTCTTGTGATGACTCCTGACATTTGATGAATTGTGGTATGAGATAAATTGGTGACTGATGTTAGGTGAGGTAGTAGTTTAGTTCCTTACAGTATTAGGTGAGGTATTTCCTGTTTAAATGTTTATTTTATACATTATTTTACAATGTGGAACCTAGGTTTAGATCTACATGTTGAACAAAATAATTATTCAGTTATATTTCATTATTTGTTATCATAGTCACATAGATGTGAATACATTGCCTTAATTTAGGGCCTGTTGTTTTTATGGTAAAATGAAGTATGCATAATTAGCAAATTATGTTGGATAAGAAGGGGTTAAAATCACATTAATTAGAAACTGATAAATTAATAATGCACCAATAATTAAAAGATACAGACTTCAATGCAACATCAATCACAAGATTAAGATATTAGATAATAATAATTATAGTAAATTAATAAACATTATATAAAAATAAAATAATAACAATAAATTAATAGTAATATATAATAATGAATTGATAATAATAATAATAATAAAAAAAATTATTAATGATGATGATAATAATAATAATAATAAAAATAATAATGAATTGATAATATAGTAATAATAATAATGATGATGTGATCTAATGATAATAATAAGACAATCATGAATTCATAATTATAATAATAATAATAATAAATTATTTATAATAATAAATTAATAATAATAATAATTTTTAATAATTGTCTTTGTTTGACTATGTTGTTTATAATTAATGGTGTAGGCTACATTATAGTACAGATTTATAACACACAATTTATTGCAATTTTAAGTTGACAAGTTGTAGTTCACTTGTAAAATTTATTTTCCATTGTACCTTTTATTTACTTTACACAACCTAAAAAGATAAATATTTTAATATAATAAATGAATAGCTTATTTATTAAATTATTATGAACCTCTTTTAATGATTTAGGCATAGTGAACACCATCCAAATATAAAACTTTAAATTTGAAAGTATATCATTTATTTTTTATTTTTTCTTATAGTTTGACCATATATCTACAGATAATTAAACTTAAAACTTTAAAGGGATATTCAGGCAAAATAATGACAAAGATATATAAATGATTTGCGTACTCAAATCAGGCTAAAATGACATTTCTTGAAGTTTCAGCATGATTT